GGTGATAAAGGGTAACAATATCCTAAACCTCGATACATATATGGCCACATACAATTAAGATAAATCGTTTCCTTAATCAACACGTTACAATATTCAATTTCGCCTCTGAATAATTGATGAAAATTACATTTGCGAGAGGGCGTGTTTGCACCCTCATGAACACCTATCATATTTCAATCAATCAATCAATCTTGGAAACACACTTACCACAAATTCTGCCTCAAGTCGTTCAATTTGCTTTGCAGAGTATGCCTGTCTCGGCTTCCGTTCTACAATCGATCGACGGTGTCTTCGGCCGGGACAAAGTAAGCTTGCAGAGCCTGATTACAACAGAACTATATTTACACTTTGTTCACCATTATAACATTCCATTTGTGATAAATTTCAAATTAAATGTATATGCAAGATTTGTTTTTGTTTTTTTTTTGTTCGGATTATTGAAAAAAAGAGGTGCATTGTTTTGTTTTTAGATTATATAAATACTGTACTTTGTGGTCTTGGAAATTACATGTACCTTGGATATCAACTGACAATATTCGTTTTGAGATGGATTTCAAGATGGGATTGTGTGACCAATCTCTCTCTCTCTCTCTCTCTCTCTCTCTCAAATATCTTACCTGATATAGGGTACGTTGTGCCATAAGCATCTAAGGACGGTACAGAACTGGTTTCAGCACAGGGGTATCGATAAGTGACGAACCCAGAATCGTGTAACAACGGGTAAAATATGCCAGTATGAGAAGTTAGATTCGTGTGGGGATATAGCTGGTATAGATGATGCTGTCCAGATTTCAAAGGAGAATCCAACACGTTAAGAATTTGAATCGCCCCGTTAGAAATAGTCTGAGTTTCATGGATTGTTCCAGTTGGGAAATGTGTATTTTGATCCACATATGACCGGTCTGCCTGAACGTCTGGTTTTTGCAGTATAGTATCGATGTTAAAATTCGAAAATCGCTTTGGAGAGCATTGTTCCTCAGGTTCTGCCAGTTCGTTTTGAACGTTTCCTTCCATGTTCGATACTTTTCTTGAAAGTATTGTGTTATACGCGATATCAAGTAGTAAACATCCCTGCTTTGCACAACGACTTGCACATTTAAAATTGAACCAAAAAACTAAGTCGCCGTGTTTTATAGTTAACGCTTTTCTATAAAAACACCCACTTTTCTATAAAAGCACTTATGTAGGACAATCAATCTGATGGAATACCCTTCTCAAAACTCTTTCAGTGTTGTTTCTGTCAAAATGTTTTACTCTTTTAACAACATTTGAAAAGAAGAGACACTTGAGCCAGTCATGCCCGCCAGCGGATTTGACAAAGGGGTCCTTGAGAACATCGCCGTTGAAGTAAGCGTGTTCTTCAATAACAGCAATCTGTTTAAAGTTTTATTACCCGTCACATAGATGTACTTATCAATAGTTATCACTCGTGCTCCAGAATAATCTATTTTTAAGATGTTACATTGATTTACCTTTGCATAAACACTCGATATCTGTACTTGTCAATTATGCTACTTTGCCTTTCATATTCTTTCCGGTGCCGTCGCGATAATCCATTGTTTTAAAGACATCTTATGGTAATTGCCTTGGGGTTGTGTTAAGGTGGGTTTCCGATGAAATGTGGGCTCTAGAGAGCAGATGGATTCAGTGGGGCACTTGCCCCCCTCCCCCACCTTAGTTTCGGAATTACCATTTCTCTTTTCTTCCCCACTTCCCCTTTAGATAAATAAATAAAACAAGCGAACTAAGCAAAAAATAAACTTTTCCATCCATGCGTCATCATGTGACAGTAATTATGTTCTCTCCTCCTATGTTATATTTGTTTTCAATCGATAAATATAAAGTATGAAATTAGAAAATCCCGGTATCCGCCAGTATGATGGAAATGAGGGATCTAAGAAAGTGCGACTGAATTATCAAGTCAAGAGTACTAATATTTAGGAATAATGAACTTTCATAATAATAATAATAATGATAATAATAATCTTTATTGATATATGGCAACCACGAAGGTTGAAGTTATACATATATATATATCTTATTTTAAATAAAAATTTATTTTAAAATAAACTTTTAAAAAAGTCAAAGGGAGCCTGGTCATTTTGGTCCTGTTGCACACTAAAGGTTGTCGCTCTCGCCTCCCTGGGGGAGGAAACAGCCGGGCTGCTAGCAAACGTACCATTTCTCAACTGCCAGACCAGACACCATTTTCACCCCCTTAGTGCTGAGTGCCGAGCGGGTAGACAGCAGTTACCGTTTATAAAGGAGCTGGTATGTCCCCGCACGGGGTTGAACCCACGTCCTCCCTCTAACCACAAGCCCATCCGGTCTTCACAATGTATGGGGAAGCATAAAACATTATTTATATATGGACAACAACGGCCATAATAGTAGTTATAATCATAATGGGTATTCATTCAATAAAACTAAAATAACTAAAGTCAATTTAGTCCATGCACGTACACTGTATTTTATGCTCACAATACAGGGCTTCTACCATACTGTAGGCAAACTATTGAATTCCTCTCCAAGTACATTCTCTTTCTCTACTCTAGCCACCAAAAGACTGCAGACATCAAGATTTGTCAGTTTAGTTTTTATATGCCAGCTGACTGTGAGTGATAGATACATGTTCAACTAGACAGAAACTGGTTTTAGATGTGAAAAACGGCTTCCGGTTCCCGTCATCTGTAAAGACAAATTGCAACATATACATACCGTTGCTGACTACGTGCGCTTCAATTTCCTGCAAAGACAAGATATTGCACTGTCTTGCCAGAGGATAAGTTCTTGGTTAATGAAACATCGATTTATTGTGGTGAAAAGAAGCGAATACATAACATATCGAATGCCCCCTCATTATTACTCCCCTTCCCTCCCTCCAGATACAACTAGTAAATGTTGCCGTACGTAGATATACTAACACTCGGCCATGAACGTTCTTCTCAATGGTTACCTTTAAGTTTGAGGCACTACCAGATATTCTGTTTTGTACCATTACTCACTTTCTGCTTATAAAGTATCTTCATATACGGCGAAAAAGGAGATTACTGAAATGACACATATGTTAATCCATTAGCTGCCATGTATTCATATAACATATAGCCATAATCACTTGTATTGATGTATTGTATTGGGTTTTCTAGGCATTCTGAAACCCTGGTTTTCTTAGTAATTAGGATTGTTATTCATTATATTTTATTTGCAGTAGTCGTGCACAGGTTTATTGAATGTACAGCATAAGAATTGTTAGTAGGTCTTCTAATGGGAACTTGTCAATTTTCAAAAAATGATTGATTATGGGATGAAACACGATGCATAGCCCACATTTTTTCAGTTGAATGTGAAGTGTCCTGACGAAAATTTATTATGGTATTGTGACATATACATGTATTTCATCTCTGTTAAATTACCATTAACAGATGTAAAAGCGAGACGATTTTTTTTCAGATTATCTTTTAAATTGCATATTCAGCCATCTACATATCAAATAACATTTATTAAATCAAGGACAGAATTACAGATTTAGAGCCGTTGACGTAAAGATAAAAGGCAATTCGGATGAAAACATCACTGTATCATCGAACGACTGAATTTTCGAGTGCGGTACTTTATTTTAAACTCGTGGAATACACAAAATCAATACTTGAATGGATTATGATAGAGGCTTAGTGTTTGCAATTCTCTATCAATGTTATGAAATTCCATAATCAATGTAATTCCATTGCATAAGCCTAAATGTGGGAATATTGCTGAATGGTTGTAATCATTAAACAGAATAACATATTAATTTGAATTGATTTGTGACTGGATAGTCAATATATAAAGACATTTTACATACATGACGGCAGTCTTTAAACAAGCCTTGTCAGCTGCATGGAGGAAGTATTTATTTTTAAAAAATATCAAATCCAATAGCAAACTATGACAGGTAATTTTGGGGGAAGAAGGTGTTAAATGTCAAATTGTATTAAAATAAATAAATTAATTAAGTTATTGTGCTAAAGAAATAAAGATCAGTCATGATAATCATAATAAGGAGGCCAAACTAGACTATTACATATTTTTCCTTGAAGTGCAATAAGAACAATATCATACCTAATGGCCTAGCTATCATGAATCCTCCACAGAACACGTAAAACTCATTTTTACATCACATGCCTTTTACGTCACGTTTCTCAGAAGTTTGTTAATTATATGTTTTAGTCCACGAAGAGGGCAAACGAGCCGGAAGCTTGGGCGCTTTATACTTATTTTGGTCCATCTTAATAGATGCATTTTCAATCTAACATAAAAATTAAGGAAACTCATGCATTTGAAAACCGTTGTGCCTTTTATCACATTTTAGACAGTCAACGACAGTTGCACAAATTCTCTCTCTCTCTCTCCCTCTTTCTCTCTCTCTCTCTCTCTCTCTCTCTCTCTCTGTGTGTGTGTGTGTGTGTGTGTATGCACATTTGATCCTTGAATAAGAAGAATGCGTCTTTCCGATAGAGTGGGGATATATTTCTGGGTAACATATACATTTATTGGAACAGGAAACGTAACTAATGGCAAAAACGATTAACTGATGGCTCCAGCAATGGCTTGAGTATCGATAACAAACATGTTTCCAACTAGCATTATGCTGGTATACATTGTATTGCGAATCCACTGCACTTACCGCTACATGCAACAACCATATAAACAGCAGTTAAGCGAAGTTCTAATACTTAATGTATTTTATTTTATCCACGGAGATAGCTTCTGAAAAACTAAAATTCAGTAGTAAAGGCGTTACTTTTGTCCAAACTGATGATTCGAAATGATGCGAAAATGATAAGATACACGTGGCACGTAACTCCTGATCCGTTGTCTTTTGTAGAATGTTAATCTCTTGTGCATCACGGAAAAATAATAATCCATTCTTCCAACGTGGAAGTGCCTTAACACTGAGAATATTCTCTTAAGACAAACTATCGGATTAATGGGCAATCAATATCCTCCGAGGATTAGTCTGGGCCAGGCGTCCTCGTGGTAATCTAATTTGTAAGATACTGAAACGAAAGAGCATAAAACGATGCGGCACATTCCTTAATTGGGAAAGAGAGCGCGATTCGGCTTCGTGACCGTGCCATTTGTAATGTTACGTCTCCCAAGGTTTACGTAAACAGCTTTTATACAGTTTTTTCATCGATATTGTCGTACCGGTAAATGGTACTGACGAACACTGTTACTGCTGTTTAAAGGCGACTGCGAAAAGGGTCATACACAACCTAAAGACTGCTTCTGATAACTGTAAGTATTCTGTTTTCAATCTCTCTCTCTCTCTCTCTCTCTCTCTCTCTCTCATGTGCACAGAGGCACGTTGGTGTTTTTTTCTCTTGAAATGAAATTGCCTCTACAGTTTTATCATGCATTTTTTAAGTGAGTAAGTGCGTTTAAATCTTAAGTGCATACACAATATAGCTTCACACTGAATTGGAACAGTTTTCTCAGGTAAGATATTCAGTTTGCTTGCTAACAGTTTGCTGAGGTGAAATACAAGAATCTGTGTCAACTTGGCGACACGTTATTTTGATACCGATGTTGTGATGAGTTATCAGTTTAATATAATATAATATAATATAATATAATATAATATAATATAATATAATATAATATAAGCTCCATACATAACATAGAACCTATACTCAAGCTTATCCCTCATGCTATCAATCCGGACCATAAAATATACATGTACAAGGAAACAACAGTATAATGTTGATATAGTGAAGTGATGTGTCAATAATGATTGTTCCTTTCAATAGTCCGTGTCTTTCATATTCATTTACACCAGCTAATGTAAACAGTTATGACAATATTAACATGGCGGCTTTTCAGAATTCGCATCCTTCGTTGAAAATCAGAATGCCTTCATAACAATCGAACGGAAGTGAGTCCTAGTGAAGTCATTAAAACAAGGATCCGCGTGCTTTCTTAGACCTTATATCCTGTATCGCACGAGTGTCTGCTTGGGACTTGGAAAACAATCGACCGTGTCTTGCTTTATCTTTCTTTTAAGTGGTATTGGAGTGCGTATTCGTGAAGTGGGCTATACGATTCGTTCTTAACCTTGTGATAGCATGTCCAGTTGTAAGGGTCCTGTCAACATATCAGGCCTTTGTCTCATTTCTGTGTAGTTCCTATTGATTCATCTATTCATTTATTACCATATATATATATATCTATTCATTTAGTCATCTGGTCATTGTACCTCTTTAACTATCATTTAGCTATTTTCTTTCTAGGGCTGAGAGGTTCGTTGCCCATGCGTGCCTCTCATGGGTGGAATCGACCGATAAATAAGGTTGAACATACCATAACGTTCTAAAATCCATCTGGTTTAACATTGTGGAACGGTCAATCATGAAGAAGTTTCGCTATTTTTAGACAAACCTACATGTATGACAGTGACACTGTATTCTGTTTTATCACTGTTACTATTTTAGGTGATTGTTTCTGTATAAGGACCTTAAGAGCAGAAAGAAGATTGTTTATTGCCCAATGACTCAGTTTGATTTGCGGTACGGTGTGATAAATGCTGGTTGTTGGTTCGTATTGAAATAAAATATTATATCATTTTTGATCGTCGGAGATCGTATAACCCCCCATAACATTAGTGTTTATAAATGAAGAAATAGGAGACATGTATAGGAATTTAGGTTAAGCTAAAAAGAGTCGAATGGCGCCCATGTTTTGACTTATCTTGTACATGTAACGTTATAAGTTTTTTTCATTGTGCATTTTATCACCTTTTAGAAAGTCTCTCTCTCTCTTCCTCTCTCTCTTCGTGTGTGTGTGTGTATGTGCGTGTGTGTCTGTGTCCGTTGTGTGAATTAATGTCTAAAATTGCATGTGTATGTGCGCGTGCGTGCTTGTGTGTTCCCTCAAAGAAAGTTTTTTTAGCGTTAGATAGACCACGGTTTGTAATATCCAAGCACACATTTAGATTAAGTACTAGTACAATGAATAAGCCATGTGGACTTCACATTTACCGTCTTTAAGAATTTACATATACGATATCTATACATGTACATGTAGGTCGTTATCCTAAGTATTGGTATCGCTGGAGTGTCATTCCCTCGTGCGTGTTAAGCTTTTTGTTCTACTGAGTTCTACTTCATAAAAACAAGCAAAATATTCTAAACGTGATGTATTTTTAAAAGCATATCACGCTTAACAATACTGTTTTATTTTTACGGTTGGTGCCTACTAATATTATACTCCAATTTCCAATTTGGTCCAGCCGCATTCTACCCTATTTTTGACAAACGTGCTAATGGTATAATAACACACTTAAATCACTTTAATTAGCAATAGCGACCGCCTTAATGTTCTAGATAATTTGATAAAGGGGGAAAATTTTGTTTAAATGAATTTGAAAATGCACTGCTCACACTTCCTTTGTACAATGTCGCTCTCTGGGTGTTGAATAGTGAAACCCTAATACAAGGATCGTGGGATATGATCATTTCATCATCTATAATGGTAACGTAGGCGGGAGAGGGAAGTTTGGTTGAATGACTGTTGCAAAACCAAGATATATTACTGTCGTATAAATATTGTAGTTAGAAAACTCTCCCTGGCTAACATAACACATATATAAATATCATAAAATCAGTAATGCCACTTTCTAAGTACCCAGTACTGTTAGGTTGTTAGATTATTTTGCGTAAGGCCACACTTTTTTATTTTTATGGATGACATCCTGCGCGCGCACCGATTTTCGCCCGTTCTCCGAACCCCCCCCCCCCAGTCCCCAACGAAGTCGGTTGTCGCAAACGTATGCGCATGCGTATTATCGCCACGTGGAAATGTGGCCGCTTTGCCGTCAAATTCATCTCTAGGATTACTTTCAAATTACACGTCAATAAAAGTCATAAAGAGAACGGGTGCCGTCGTTTTGGATTGGTATGCCATTGATATTGGACATGCAGATATCACCTTTTTACAATTGTGCGAAAGGCTGGCGGCAGCGAGCGATTATCGACCGAAAAATTTCTGTGACTTTTTGTACAAAGCAGCACATGCCAGGTTTTCTGTAGCGAAAAAACAGGGTCGACAAGGGCGTCGAGGTATTTGGTGGGCTGATGTCGGACAGGCCACCTGACAGTTTGGCTGCCTCATGTGAGTCGAAGTAGACAAAATGGCATCGTCCGAAATGACCTTTAATAGATTTGGTAGTATTAAGCATATCTTTGCATCATTTTTTAAACATTTCTGTAAAGTGTTCAAAATGCTTTAATATTCTGAGAATACAAATAAAGACACACTGTTTGTTTGATATTTGTTTTATTGATTGCTATACCAACAAAATGCATGAAATAACCTTGAATATTGATTTGGTAATATGAAGTATATCTATTCATGACTTTTTTTTTTACATTTCTACGAAGTATTCACAATGCTTTAATATTTTGAGAGCATGGATAAAGACATATTGTTAGTTTGCTCCGTGTTTCTGTGGTAAAATTTGTGTTTCCAGCTGTGTACTGACAGCATTCCTTAACTTAAGAAGTATTTTTTTTTTGGACTGTTTTTTTTTCGCCCTCTCGCACCGATTTTGGGGTACCCAGAGGATGTCATCCATAAAAATAAAAAAGTGTGGCCTAACAGGCAATCAAGAGTGGAAAATTAAAGTTGCAGGGCGCATTTACAATGAAACTTTCGTATTAGGTAGTCTTAAATACTCTCGCTGAATGCAATTAGATTAACAGATTAACACCCCTCCTACTGTTTCCAAGGTACTCGTATATAATCTCCAGCCTGTCTGCACTCTACTAAACGACAGGAGAAGGCAAGTTCTTCATTTAATCTGATTGCATTTAGCAAAGTTCCCCTCGGAGTTAGTTTGTACGATAGTGTCATTGTGAACGCATCTATACTTGGAAATGTCTTTAATTCATATTTCCTATGTTTACACATCATGTAAAGCTTCATACCTTTCCCAGTACCAGCTTTGTATATTCCCTACTGACATGTACAGGAAGACATGGCCATTTAAACGTGACGGGAAACATTTAGTGCTAATAATCATCTAATTAAAACGGAATACATGTACTAGTGAACCATCCGAAATCCAGTAGAGGGACGGATGGGACAACGATTCGCAAGATTACGTAGGAGAAAATTGCTTTTTGAGGGGGATTTAATTAAGCAGGAAAACTCGGATAGGGCATCTTTAAGTTTACACGCGTGCCTATTGCATTAAATGTAGTTAAATGTTTTGAAACCGCAGAGCTCCGGCCAACGGTTGAATTGGCTGACAAAGCCGGGCGCTTTTCTTATCACACATCAGCTTCTGTTTGATGCTGTGCAAGACGATTTCTTCCAAGCATTCTCATCTTCTGGTATCGTAGAACACCATATTCAACATATTCAGTGCCAACCAGTCAACCTTCTTTGCTGTTGACTACATTGCACGTGTGAGATGGTGAATATTGCAGACCGGGAGAACCATATTAACCACTGGAAATATTAAACAATTGATCTTCGTGAGTCAAGCCTGGGATTGTATACAGTTTACCAGCGTGTATGCATGAATCTGAACGACTGCTCTTCAAGTTACCTCAAATTCTGCGATAAGACCTCCATGCAGACTTGCACGACGAGACATTACATTTCTTATATCGTCTGTTGGGGGTGGGGGTGGGAATGGGGGATGAAGAGCCAATTTCTCCTGTATTCAGATTAAACAATGTATTAATATTCGACTATGCATACGGAAATGTACATGTAGTACCTGGGCACAGGGGCCCAGCACATACACATGCGTGCTACATTCAAAACATATTTTTAAAAATGTAACATGCAGAGGGTACATTAGGCAGATTGAGATCCAAATAGTTTTCGTTAATCTCAGCTGTTTCAACCTCGCCTCCACAGTTTGGGGCCTTGGTTATCTCCAACGGCCTATACAAAATGACTACATTGTATCACGGGACAGTGTTTGTGTGTTTAACATCAGTTCAGTGAGTACCACCACAGTATTTTTTGAATGCATGGGGTGTTAAAACAAGTATTACAATCCTCGAAAGATACCCATTTTGTGACAGTTGCAAGGCAGTTCGAGTCCAACAGTACAGGTAGCTAGGGGCCGAGCTACAATTGAGAAATTTATCTGGCACTGAATCTGAATAGAGCTAGTATACAGCACTGAGGAATACATGTATGTTAAACGCGATTTTGAGAACAAACCTTGTCTAATAACATTATTTACATCACTTTTATTTCTTTTCAGAAAATCCGTCACCATGTCTATGGGACTTTTAACCTCAACCATGCGGGCATTTAAGGAGGCCGGGATGTCTGTAACAAACATCGACAATCTTAGATATGCAGACAACGCAGATTACAGCCATGTGCGCATGCGCAAATCTAAAATACAGCTAATCTTGCTCAGTGCAGCCGTCTGTGGAATAGAATTCTGTTACGCAGCTGAAACTGCGTTTGTCAGTCCATGTTTATTGAAGCTTGGAATCCACGTGTCTTACATGACAATGGTGTGGTGCTTGAGCCCTCTCTTCGGATTCTTCATGGGGCCGTTGCTTGGCACTCTTAGCGATAGGTGCCGCTTAAAGCTGGGGCGCAGGCGGCCTTTTATTCTCATTTTATCAGCAGGTATCGTACTTGGGCTTATTTTGGTGCCAAACGGAAGAGATCTTGGATTTTTGATGGGTGATACGCATGCTTCCTGGAACATTGACAGCGCTGAGAACACCACACAATTTCCTGATCAAAATCATGCAAATACATCGGAAATAACGCCAGAAACATACACAGGAAAGTATTATCGGGGACCTGACATGGAAAGATCACGTTTTATTGAGCAATTTAATTTCACCTAATATTACAAGATTTATCACCGATGACTATACAGCGTATATTGACTTGACTACACCGAACAATGCATTAGATGCGCTTTATGCCGACACGAGCACACCACTGCCAACAGCAACAATGCTCGAACTAAATACGCCAAGGAGCATCTACGATTTTGTTCCAGGGCTCCATATAAACGGTCTAATCATTACAATCATCGGGGTGGTGTTCTTGGACTTCAGTTGTGATGCGTGCCAAGCACCTTGTCGGTCTTATCTTCTAGAGGTGACCACGGAGCAGGACCATGCCACCGGCTTGACGATATTCACGATGGTAGCAGGCCTTGGCGGTTCCATTGGCTACTTGATGGGTGGGATAAATTGGAATGCAGTGGGTGATAGCAACGGAGATTTCTTCGAGCATGTCAGGATTGTTTTCTCCATCGTTTTGTTTCTCTTCATCATGTGCGTCCTGATCACGATAACAAGATTTCGGGAAATACCATTGGATGAGATACATGACTGGTCGCTTAAGACTTCCAAAAGCGCCACGGAGCAGGATAATAAGAAAACGGGTGATGCTGGCGAACCTGAAACACCTGCCGCGTTATATGATGATGCCTTTAATTATAATCCGTCTTCTGCCCATACAGCGGATGCGCAACATTTGTATAATTTCAATTCTGATCCACCGCCCAATCGACAAAATCACCAAAACCCTTTCCCTGCTTACCCAAGTTTCGAAATATCTCGCAGGGCGTCTGATCCAGGCGAGGGGCGCCTATCACGTCCGTACTCATCACCAGATTTGGAAAACCATCTCCAAATCCCCAACTGCGTGGACCAGGACGGCAGTCATGTCATGAGACAAGATGAAGTCACCCTAAAAGGTTACTGGTTATCAATTCTCCATATGCCTCGGTCGGTGGCCTATCTCTGCCTGACTAATTTGTTCTGTTGGATGTCTTTGGTATGTTATTCCTTGTACTTTACGGATTTCGTAGGCCAAGTGGTGTATGGAGGTGATCCTAATGCTCCCGCGGACAGCAAGAAGCATAGGTTAGTATTATTAATTAATGAATTAGTTTTAATTCAAATCTTTGAATGAATCAATCAATGAATTTAATATTATCATTATTATTATTATTGAAAACGAAGGCATGAGCTTTCTGGTACATGTACCTTCTGTGTATTTCAGATATATCTTTGTTTCTACAGTGCATACTGATACTTGGACTTTATCAATTGAATACATATTTTTGTAAATATTGGGGTGTTTTTATGCCTAAATAGACTTTGTTTTTAAACAGATGACGTGAAATACGGCGCACACTGACGAGAGCTTGTGCAGTATTACCGATATGTATGATACCGTACATCCCGGTCTCTGTTTTTTAGCCTCTATGATGAAGGAGTTCGAATGGGATCGTTTGGTATGGCTCTGTACTCCTTCTCCTGTTCCATGTATTCGCTGGCTATAGAGAAACTTGTCAAAAAGTTCCGTAAGTGGCATATGATATTACCTGTAGGTTGGGTCCTTCGCACTTGTAAAAAGGATGAAATTATATTCTTACCTAAAAGTTAAATTAATTCATATTATTCATCTGACATTGGTGATATTTTACAAATGTGATACAAATATAAATTGATTTTTGCTTGTGGCGTGTGTTCTATGGATTTAATGCAATTCTGATGTTATTAATTAAAACCATGTAAACTTAGCTCCGTAGAAATATTTATGATATGATAGAAAAATTTGATAGAAAATACTCAAATGTTTAAAAATGCCGTCAGAGTTTGGATAGTGTTCAGACTTACATGCAGAAGTCTCTGTATTCTTTTTCAGACTCTCTTTTTAACCCCAAATTCTATTACAGGGACCAAACCCGTATACATTTGTGGACAACTCGTATACACAGTTGGAATGATACTTATGGCTGCAACTAAAAGCAAGGTCGCAGTAATTCTCCTCTCGCCGACTGCCGGAATAATGTATGCCACGTTGTTTACGCTCCCTTATATGTTAATTGCCAATTACCACTCGTGTGAAATGGTTAGTATGGACTAGTGTTTTGATAATAGGACTACTTGAACATGTACCTTATTTCAGTGGTGCAAGAATTTCTCAAAACGAAGAAAATTTCTCAAATTGGTACCGTGTACTTAAGGAAATAGTTCCCAAAAACAATGCCTCTCAAGAGGCCCTGTGTGTATTTATTGAGACCATTGTTTGAATTACCTGCATTTCTACTTTTTATCAATCTTGTTTGTAATTATCGGAATAATCCTACGCTGCGTCACATGCCTTTCCTCTGCAATACTCTAGTTCATGGACAAAATTATTGTTCATGTCCAGTTTCAGGACACATTCTGCTACATTTCTTGCCACAAAATTTTGAACGCTTATGATATGAACTTTACCTGTTTTTCAGTTTGAAGAACTCGTCCCTGAAAGCACCAAGACAATCCACCCCCGAGGCCTGGGCACTGACGTGGCTCTCGTTAGTAGCATGTGTTTTGCTGCGCAGTTCCTGTTGTCGGCGGGCCTCGGGAGCCTGGTCCACGCAGTGGGGAGTCCTGTCGCGGTCGTGGTGTGTGCTGCGGTTTTTAGCTTGTTTGGGTCGCTTACAGCAACCAAAGTGCTATATTTAGATAAATAAGCCATGATGCCCCTCCCCTAAGTGTCGAACCAGTGTTTATATCCGAATGGCAGTATCGCTGAGGCTTCTTTTGTTTCAGTAGAAGATGAAATGTTTCTGTAGCTTACTTTCTTACATATTGTATTGTCGTTCAATTTGACTGGTTGAAAAGAGGCGTTGTCTCTTTCAGAGCCGTTGACTAGAGCGCAAATAGCAAATCGTCTAACTGATTTCTGTGCTTCATGTGCGCAATCGTCAAGTGTCAAACGTGCTAACTGATTGGTTCATCAATATATTTATAATTTCTTTGTGCAAATCTTACCAACGCATAATGCATCGAATAAACTTGCCGAGGTGGACGTAAGTTTTTCATTTTCATATGTGCCTACACACTTCTGATTGATCAACGACTGCAGAAAAGAATGCTTAGGTACTTGTACCGGTATTGCGGTAGTATGAATAAATGGCCATTTTAAACTACCGGTATCAAACACATCCTATTCAAATTTTATTGAGAGGCGTGTCTAGCAGACATGAGACACCACTTCCCTATCGAGATAATATTCAAAAGACGTCGAATAAACCGGGTATGTCTGCTGATGGAAGGGCCAAATAATGTGTAACAAACATGTTCAATACAAGTGCGATCAATTTTGAATAAGTGACATTTGTCAAGGAATTAGATATTCTCAGCGTCGACAAAGCCTACTGCTAATAACGAGGCTTTACAATTAACAATTTAAATCTCTCCTATAGAAAAATGTATCCTGAATCTGCACTGAAAGGCACACAATATACAAGTTGCAAGCCTACTCTGTCAAAGCACAAAGTTTGTAAAGTTCTAAACAACAGAAGAAAGACTTTAATCAAATGAAATCGGAAATAGAAAGGGCTAATTTAATATTAAAGTTACAGAAACGTCGGGGGGGGGGGGACTAAACAAATAGATTCTGGGAGCATCATTGGAGTGCTTCAGTCTGCTTTGTTACCTGCCTCGTGATGGCGATTAGAGCTTGGTTTTGAATGCAGTGAAAAAAGCTGATATTATTGCCAGACTAATTCGGTGTAAGTTATACTGTTCTTAATGAGAGAGAGATTTAACAGGTAACAAATAATAGTAAATAAACCTATATTGTTTGTCTTTGTTGTTTTATCAAATGCGCATAGACGACAGTTGACAGTGTGGCGTAGGAAAAATAAACAAGATCATCTGTCCTTCCTTTTTAATAATAAAACAATTCTGATTAAAATAAAAACAGTTTAACAACAGTATGATGATGCGAGATCTTGAATACAGTCAGCGTTTGTGTATGGCCACTTTATACGGCACGATGGATTTTTCATAACTGCCTTTGTACCCGAAAAGCAATACCGCAAAATGATTTTCTCAGGAAACGAGACTATAAATTTCTACGTACTATTGATTTAAAGGTACTTATGTTATATTTAATAGCGGCATTTATACCCAGGTTGTAGTTAATGACACAACAGAGCAAACAATAAAATCATGTACGTGTATCATCGTAGTAATAACCACTTAATTGAAACATTCCTCGTATTTATCCTCGCATCTTAAGATTAGTGGGTTAAAATACAGATGCGGCTATGTTAAATAAGCAGAAATGAAACCACGTCCTCATTTTCCTCGTTCAAAATATTTTTTAAATCCAATGTCTGGGATCTAACGCCTGCTTTGGACGCCCCCTATTCCAGGTAAAGCTACGCCATATTGTTGGCTGTGAAGTCGGGCGTGTTGGTGCCGAGCGGATGTGTAATTAAGGTTATTTTCAGTTTGTCTTGTAGACCGACCTCGGTCAATCGCTGGAGTTGACTTTGTCATGGCGTCCATTTTTGGTTGATCCCAGTTTTGTGCATAAGATTTGGAGACATCATGAGGAAAACTGATTCCATCATAATCTGTCCACCCCGTGTCGTCTGCTGCATTGCCTTTTTGTTCAAGTCGAGTGCTTGCAGGAGGATTACCTCTTACGTACTGGTCCGTGTTAGTCACTCCGTTTCCCGCACCTCTATCGCTATAGGCGCTCCACCTATTACGCTGCAGATGACTCTGGAAGTCAGAACGAGGTTCCTCGGTAGAGGGAGGTACGTATGATATCCTGTCTTGCACACCTACTCGTGCTTGTTCATTTTCCTCCGGATAGTCGTAATCAGGTGGGAGATAGTATTTTCTGTTGTAAGCTGCCATAGTATGTGTGTTTTCATATCTGGGTTCGGTGTCCTGCTGGTCACGCGTCTCGGGTATTTGTGAGGGCCCACTGGCCTGAGGGTATTGGCTATCCGTACTAATTTGTCTTGGAGTTTCACCTCTGTATTGACCTTCCGATCCTCGAGCACGTGCCTGTAAATGAGAATAAAGGCAGATTCAATTTACATCTATCCCTACAAAACATTTTTTTCTTATAAGTTCTTAGAGGGTTGGGTCTGGGTTCTGTTTCTGATGTTTTATAAGACCAAAAATGGCACTGGTGCCAAGGTTACCGGCACGTGGGTGTATATCACGTACTCAGTACTTGTACATGTCCTCCCACCACACACCCATGCAACGTGCCTAAATAATGTCATTAAGGAGCTATTTAACATCTACTGGTTGTTATGCCGATGTTCAACAACTACTTCCTGACACACCTAGACAAATTTTGTATTGTAACATTTTTTTCTTATAAGTTCTTAGAGGGTGGGTCTGGGTTCTGTTTCTGATGTTTTATAAGACCAAAAATGGCACTGGTGCCAAGGTTACCGGCACGTGGGTGTATATCACGTACTCAGTACTTGTACATGTCCTCCCACCACACACCCATGCAACGTGCCTAAATAATGTCATTAAGGAGCTATTTAACATCTACTGGTTGTTATGCCGATCGATGTTCAACAACTACTTCCTGACACACCTAGACAAATTTTGTATTGTATCCCCCCCCCCCCCCCGATATCCAACACTCGAGTACATGGTAATTACAGTGCGGGCATTGCCCGTGCAGCGACAAGCTAATTACGAGATAAATAAGTTTGTATTTCATGTTCAAACAAAAAATACCTCATTGTAAAAGTAGTTTACATATATCGGATTATAAAGGTCGGTTCTGTCCGCCGTCTTTGGCAGTCTTGATGGATAACTGTTACCACCAGCTCTCGGTACATTTTGTGTTTGTCCTGTGGGATCGTACGGGTCTCGACCAATCGATACAGGACCCTGGCCACGTGATCCGCCACTATGCTGTGTTCCAAGACGTCCGCGTGCAACAGATGCTGGACGGCCATTTTGGGGGAAACCACCAAGGCTCCTGTTATAATATGGTGGACGAGAAGGCCCGCCATTGTGTCTAAAGTTGTAAAAAGACTCAGAGTCGGGATCTGGGACAGGATCTTCATCGTACAAGGTATTGGGCTCGCTTGTGTCGATGGGAGGTTCGTTCCTGAAGTCTTGTATGGAGGCCATGTATTTGTTTATCACAGGGTTCATGTGGTGACTTCGTGGCTTTTTTGTCTTGGATTTGCGTTGCTGGAGGCAGACAAATACCAATAGCGCAACAGCAGCGAGAAATAACACGCCCGCAGTCGTGCCAAATGCTATGGCATATACCAAAGCCTGAGAAAGCTCTGAAAAATATAAAGTTAATATTAGTATTACAGCATGTATATTAAATACATACTTAACACTGAAGTTACATAAAACATTTCTCTATTTATGTTGAATCTGGCAATACATAAATTACTAGTTGTTTGGGAAACTTATTGATAGCATAGCTTTAAATCCATTAAAAAATTTGGAAGGAAAATAGCAACAGGACATAAATCTGCCAAGTTGTCTGTTGACCTATTTTTCGTATGGAGTTTAATTTATGTATAGAAGTTTGAATATTCGGATGCACTTAAAGCTTATACACGTAAAACTACTTTCCATAAATAATATCAACCTACATAAGGAAGTAAAGGAAAAGAAAAAAAAATAGGTAAAGGCATAAATACTTATAAATTTATAGGTAAACTATATAATGGTTCATGTTAATAGGGAAAAGAGACAATCTTTTTAAAAGATTTTATTATTAACGCCCTTAAACTTTTAAGTTAAGTTAATGTCATTATTGTATTGTAATCTTTAACAATTTAATAATAATACAGTACATTGAACTGTATCATAATGGAATGTGCTATTTAAGAAATGAATTTTGTTATAATCAAAACCATCGATCGCGCACAAAAGGTCTTTTTTCCTTCAGTATAAGCCCTTACACTAGGATGTTAAAAGGTTTCAGACTCGAATATCGCCAAACACATCACGGAATCTATATTGAAAATGAAAGAAAAAACAAAAGAAAAGGTCCCTACTACGGATTGCGTAAAAAACGAATATTAGATGTAGTTTTTCGAGAATTATCCTAATTTGAAATCACACGATGTTACCGAAACACAAAACTTTTAAGTAAAAATTTAAAAATGTACACGCTCTCTGCCAACCGGTCAACATTGTTCCAAAGTGTCTGTATCAAAAATGCGCGATACAAGAAAGGTTACATGTATTTGCCCAACATTCCACTGTGATTCGGGCAACTACATGTAGGGTAAAAAATGAATCAAACCAAACCAAACTGAGATAAATCACATGTGTACATGATTGAATATGAAAATCTCAAGAATTCTCACCAGTGTGTGTGTGAGAGAGAGAGAGAGAGAGAGAGAGAAAGAGGGAGAGAGAGAAAGAGAGAGAGAGAGAGAGGAAGGGAGGGGGTCGCCAAGAGTTGGCATGTTGAAATTTCAACGTAAGGGAAAAATCTGAGACAGAGGCATGACTGTCACGCAGATGAAAAAAGGAGTCAAATGACATTATTGATTGACGTTCAGACCACCGCGAAGACAGCTGGGGGTATAATATGTGTTTAATCGGAAACCTCTCTAACTGAGAACCAGCTTACGTACTCGTTCAAATACTTCTATTCATTTTAAATGCTCACTTGAGAGCACGTTAAACTCTAGTTTTGTATCAAAGTCTGCACAGTCGATACGCGTGTCACAGCCATAGAATCATTTAACATAACGTTTAATATAATGCATAACCAGTCGCAACCCGTACTTTAAATCAATACTAAAAGCTGACTTGATATTCACATTTCTTACTCTTAAATGGGTGTCTCAAACATACTCACCTGCCGAGACAACACCTACGTTCAACGCTAGGTGAGTCAGCACAGTTAGACGATGCATGGTAAGACGGCGGGCACATGAAATCAAAGCCACTACTGATTAACTAGCTTCTACGGCTAAAGACTTGCACTGGCATCGACGTGTTCGGAAAGCTGTAAAAATACCGTCTCAAGTTTAAACAGCTTCAGCCCCAGCAGTAGAATAATAGCAGTGAGTCTGACAGGGCTCCACATACACTGTATGTAGGGCACTCAAATCAATCTCAGCTCCTTCCTTGGAGGTCAGATCAAGCAGTTCAACCCTGACGTAGTACAACTTTTTCTAGTCAGTGACTAGTCTAAATTTCCTTCGGTTTTTGTGGGCGCTACTCCCTGTCTGTGTGCGTGGCTTATGATGTTGATTCAGGACCTAATAATCTCATTACAATGGCACATTACAAATATCCTCTTTCCCTTTGCTCCATGTCTGTCCTCATTCTGGGACCACCGCCCCCAGTATCGGCACTCACCATCCAGGAAGTAACCGATTAGTGCACTTTATATGTATTACGGCGCCTTACGAATAAGTCACGCCCTTCCAGCTTGGCGCTGTTTTCCTCCCCCGTGTAAACACGTTTTGTGCGACCAGGGTGTGTATGTGTGCTATTCAGACGCACTGCCTATTCAAGCGATGTTTACCTTCATGGCGGGGACACAATAGCTAAGGGGTGAATGATTTGTGGGGTCAAATAATGGGATGCATATAGAAAAAATACATGATATCAATATGATATCAACATGCATACCCTACCATATATTATCAGTCCTACCCTCTTCCAGGGCACAGATTGATTTTTTGCTAGATATTCACAGATAATGTCTCCGGCTAAATATAGTGAATCTTTTAACTGTGGTGGTGACTGGGGGAAAATGTCCTGGGAGAGGGTATATCACTCCTTCGTGCAAGAGGCAGGGCATGTCCAATTTTTAAAGTTTATTTACACATAATTCATGCAAATACGTGCTGCGTCGTCCGCCGAGACCAAGTCAATCGATACCCATTTCCATAATTTCGGCATTATTCTACCATCCCATAGCTTTTCTTGGATGAGCCCCCCCCCCCCAACACATTTAAATCTGGTCTGTAAGCGCCTGTATGCAATAAAATGAAATTGTGAAAAAACTTTTAAAAGCAGTCTTTATTTTCCTGTATATTATTACATGTTTGATAGATTCCACTTGCGAAATTTGTTCGAACATCCAGATATTGCGCTCCAAATTGTTTTAATTGTATAAATATGCAAGATGAATTTTTTATCTTAAAAGCACTACTAAATTTTAAGCTAGGATTAAGTTTATTTTATTAATCGCTTAACATGGATGAAACAATGCCCCGTTTATAATATTTTCACCATAAACAAGTCCAAAGTTGCCGGGGTCTGAGGTATCTCCATAACACTCAAAGGAAAACAGAGAAAAGCAAATACTGTACAATAAGAAATCTTCACTAAAATGTTAAATAAAAAATTACAGAAGGTGAACAAAATTTCTCCTCTTCTAAACAATTACATTAGCCCGTACACAATTAATCGCTCGTGCACGTGTGTAAGAGGAAGAGATACGCGAATAGTATAAAGAAACATTCTTTTCTTAATGCCAAAAGAATAACCTGACGATAATCAAAGTGCCAAAATATTATAAAGTATATTTCGTGATTTTTTGGTAGAGGATAAAGCATACATGTCAGAACTAAAAAATTTCACAACAAAGGCTCCTAATTTAAACAACTTTGAGACCTAAAACTATTTCTTGAAATAAACTTACTAACATCAATTTCAATTAGCCAAATAAAATAGATAAAATAAAAATAAAAAATGAATAATCAAATAAATAAACAAACGCTCCTATTTTCCTCTAAATAAGTTACATCAGGAATCTGAGAATTATAAAACTACGCCCTTTAATTTTTTAGATTTCCACAAAACTTCCCCTGCAGTTCTGCACTCGTGTTCGAGCGAAAATGACGGTCATGTTTTTCGAAATTGTCGGCAAAGTCATTATATACCTGGTATTTAGTGCTTATAATGGAAATAGGGAGGCTAGTCAGCACCAGCCCCGAACAAATACAGATAACGCCTATCAAATAACCAATAACACCTGTAGGGTGCACATCCCCGTAACCAACAGTTGTCATGGTAACGATTGTCCACCAATATCCAATAAACATGTTTGGGAATTTATTACTTTCCTCTGCCATTTCAGCATAGTAGATAACTGGACCAAAAATAAGTAGACCTACTGTTAAAACCAACATCATTAGGCCGAAATCCTTTGCGCATGCTTTAAGAGTTAGATATATTACTCGTAACTTCTTTGAAATCGCACACAGGCGAAATAGCTTGGTTGCACGAATAACATCAGATGTGATTCTGAAAAATCTAAAAACAGACATGTTGGTGTCAGTGAAGTACAGAATAACACTTCCATAGCCACTAAAAAGCCAGATCATTGTGAGCACATGAACCGGCATCTTCAAGGCTATGAATATATTGGGAGCGGACAAGATGACCAATATGATATCTATTGTGAAGAAAACGAAGGCTGCAAGTTGAATCATCATTATGCTGAGGGGTTCCTTGGTCGCCAAGAGGTCCCCGAATTCCCCTGGAACAGTGATGTTTTCTGCGTCATCTGCGTTGCCGTTGAATGTTATCCTGATAATAGGCAGTGTGCCAAGTGCTGGAAATATCGCAGTTACTATCAGGATGGCGGTATACAACCAGAAATATATCTGAAAATATTGGAACATTTTTCTGATAAATACAAATTTATGTCAATACTCCGCAATTTCTCAAATTTTGTACGTGAATTGGAGTGATAGTATTTGACTTGGCAGTGGGAAATTTATCAGAATTTAAATTCAAAATTAATGATTAATTTATTGCTCTTAAAATACTTAAACTTATGGAAATATAAAAAACGATATCAATTGAGCCCATAGAAGTACATGTAGGCTTTGGCTAGATTGGCAAATTTCATTAGTCGAGGCCCTTTCAAAGCCTCTAGATCTCGTGTAAATGTCCCTTACATAAATGTAAAAAAAGTCCTGTTTACTGACAGCAATAATTTATATTTCAAAGCAAATCTAGTTAATGGTAAATACGTGATAATGGGTCTAAGTATTGCAATGAAAAAAGGAAGTCTTATTAAAATAATTAACAGAGGTACTTGTAAAATGACTATGGTTTGTTATGCAAATAATTACCAAATAAATCAGAAGCCGTTTAGTTAATAATCAAGTTTTTTGATTTCAGTCTTTTTGGTCACAAAATTTGGAACGTGAACATATTGTCGAGATATACTGATATTAGTGGTTGTTTACCTATACATGAATCCTGGATTTAATCACCGCTTATATTATGTTCTACTATCTTCGCTTGTATAATGTTTTGTAGGGAAATAAAAGAGCTTTATCATTTTAACGACCATCCACTTTTTTATTACTTAAAAATTAATTAAAATGCCTAAGAAATTACCAATGCTCCCTTGGATGACGTTGGGCAGGCCAAAAAATTCCAGATGGTTTTTCGCTTAGACGCAGGCAGACAATTTAAAGACTCATTCTCTGCCTGTTTTTCATCAAACATTGCAAATTCCTCATATATCTGTCGATTTTCTCTCTCCTTATTCCTGTATTCGTTGAAAGCATCAAAACAGCAGTTGGGAAGGTTAGGGTCGGAAACAACCCAAAAAACCAATTCTTCTTGCAATCTCTCACTACACAGACTTGGAGAAACATGCAGAGCGCCGGTGCGCAGATATTCAAGTACGCATTCAAAATACTTTGGGTTGCGATCAAAATAGTATTCCCCGACTTTCACCGATCGGTTTCTTTTGTGGTGCTCCGCAATCTTCTCAAATTTTGTACCCGCTATACTGGTTAGGGTGTCTGTACAGGTAACAAATTGCTGACCACCAATATTTATAGTAACTCTATCGGTGACTCTTCCTAAACCTATCTCTCTTTCAATGTCATCAACGTCCAGTAGTGCTTCCGATTTTTTTTGGGTTTTCTCCACAACTAGAAAGAATAGCCCACTTCTCCCCTGTAACTGAAGCGCGAGCGTTTGTTCCAGTTTTGGAGGGATAGCCAGGGAGAGCAGTGCCCTGCATCTTGTAGTTTGGTCTGAGGTGACTCTAGTGATTGCTGTTACTTGCTGTCACTTGTACTTCTTATATCCTCTCTCGTCTACTTATGGTCGAACAGAGGCCGCATTCCACGCACTGATCACGAAAAAAGACGAATGCATCATTTGTTTATCAGTGAATTAAAGCAAGAATCGATTTTGGATAAAGGCTTCTATTCAATCAAAAGAAAAGTTGTAAAACTATCGATTCGCCACACTCTTCTTTTGTTTCGTATGGAAACCGAAATAATACCTGGAGACATTAAGTTATCCAAACTACCGAGAAACAGTGACGCAAAGAAATGTGGATACAATTCCAGAAGCGCACATTTACACTTAATCTTTGACCTGGTCCACACTATAGATATTGATGGTTTTGAGAACAGAGTGCTGCATCCGTCTTAAAATGCCATTTACGCTGCTAGATGACTAACGCAAATACAATCACGGGCGTCATGTCATCTTTAATTTCAGTAATTATAGAATGCGTGTCATGTATACGGGGCAATACATCACTTTGGTTACCATTGCTTGCGAACCATGCATATGGGTGCTATTTTTCGCAGACATACAGATACCCCTTATTTTCAAAGTCCTTTTTACACTGATTTAATCTAAAGCAACAGTTTGCACTGCATCCAAACCAAGACCTCACAATTTGCAGGATAAGTCTGAATATGGTCTTATGGGGCGGAATTGATGAATTGTGACTAGGCCCTGGTTTTTATTGCAATTTTGACTTTCTTTAAATTTGCCTCACATTAAAAACTCCCAACGGTTCCTAGAAATAATGGTGTATATCTGTTCTGCCAATACTAGGCCCAATTGTTACCGTAAGTAAAAATAACTTTTGTAGTCTTTCAGTGGCTTCTTCATTGATTACTTGGGGTTGATAGGTGAATGGTCATTAGGTTCACTACGTCGTAACTGGTCTTAAAGCTTTTGTGAAATTAAGGACCATAAATTTAACTATATAATTCCATTTTATCGCATTATATACCGTGTTCTAGATTAGACAGTGTGGATATATACCAAGGTATTTTTATGCATCATATTTCAGGCATTTCGTTCATTGAACTATAAGATAAAGTGCTTCGCTGGGCAACAAGTTTCTTGGTGCTCCCACCACCCACAAAAATACAGTACATGTAACAATGGATCCGTCAAGTAACACTATAGCCCAAAAGGAGTGGTGCTCCTTAACTTTATACTAAGTCGAGAGTTTTGAAAAGTAAAAACACTAAATGCTCTCCAAGGCATAAATATATGTTCGAGTACCTGGTTTAATACCCTGTAGGGCGCATCGGACAAGTCAGTAATCTGATAAACAAAACAAAGGAACCTTTATGCTATTCCCCTGCTGTGGTTCTGTCGGAAAGGTTTTACAAACACCCAATGTTGGGTCCATGAATGTGTTTGTCTAGCCTGCCATCCCCCAACCTGATCATCAACAAATTCAAATAAACCAAACGCATGCTTCATTGAAACGATCAATAAATAAGAAAAAATACAAAACTAGAAAAGCACTCCTAGAGCGCAGACCTCCGCCAAGGCAGCAAAGTCTCCACCCNCACAAAAAAAAAAAAAAAAAAAAAAAAAAAAAAACAGTACATCTAACAATGGATCCGTCAAGTAACACTATAGCCCAAAGGAGTGGTGCTCCTTAACTTTATACTATGTCGAGAGTTTTGCAAAGTAAAAACACTAAATGCTCTCCAAGGCATAAATATATGTTCGAGTACCTGGTTTAATACCCTGTAGGGCGCATCGGACAAGTCAGTAATCTGATAAACAAAACAAAGGAACCTTTATGCTATTACCCTGCTGTGGTTCTGTCGGAAGGTTTTACAAACACCCAATGTTGGGTCAATGAATGTGTTTGTCTAGCCTGCCATCCCCCAACCTGATCATCAACAAATTCAAATGAACCAAACGCATGCTTCATTGAAACGATCAATAAATAAGAAAAAAAACAAAACTAGAAAAGCACTCCTAGAGCGCAGACCTCCGCCAAGGCAGCAAAGTCTCCACCCAATGCCGTTTCACCCCTAAATTTTCATTCTATAATGATTTAGTTTTTGATTTTTGATTATTGATTATTGATTGATTATTGATCTGGATCACCACCAAAAACTAATCATCTGTCTCTTGGCCCACTTCTGACAGTTCCTGAAAATTTCATCAAAATCGGTCCATAACTTTTTGAGTTATGTTGATGACAGACAGACAGAAAGACAGACAGACAAACAAACAGGGGTGAAAACATAACCTCCTTGGCGGAGGTAAATATTGCAACAAAATTTAAACAATTTAATTCATAAGGCATCCAGTGTGCGTTAGACCTTAATGTTGCAAAATAATTTTATAGGCGCCGGCTTTATCATCAAGGTGTTCCTTTACCAGAACCGTAAATAAAGTAATACTGGGTTCCCAAGCCTAGATCGATCCATCTAGATCGGTCTTACTTCCCGGGGAACTAACGTATGTCGAACTCCACGTAATGAAGCGAGACATTTCAACCGAATTATAGTTACTTTCTTACAACTAACTGTTCACTGGAATCCTCACCATGAAGATATCTATGAATTCCGCATATAATAAGAAATTATATACAACATTTTTCCTTTTAATATATTTTACTATCAAAACGCATGTCCTCAGGGGCCCAGTCCTGAATCACGTGGAATTTAACAAAGACATGAGTCCACCCACTCACACATAAACATACATATCTATTTTTGAATTAACATGATTAGAAATACAAATTAAAATAATTTTTTAAACGAAGCAATTTTAGTTATTTCTTCAATCTACTATTCTACTGCACCGTGTACGAGAGTGATGCTTCTCGATGATTTCTGGCACGAAGGACCGCGCCAAACAGGAAAGTGATCGACCGCACTTGTGGTTCATAATGCAGCAAAATATTTACAGTCGTACCGTGAAATCGCTATTAAAGAAATTGACTTGTCGAACGGAATCACAAATCTGTTGCTCAAAGTCACAAAGATTTCTTTGATAACATTGGGATACCATTTTGAGAGACAGGCTTATTTGATCCAAGCACGGTGAGGCGGGAACCAGACCGCTGGTATCCATATGTGATCAGTATAAAAAAACTCCACACACAACCTTACACTTTGATGTGTATAATTGTCTTCATTCGTAGTTGGAAGAGACCTCCTTACTGGTTGACCTTCACAGGGATCCTCCTCGACTTCGTGTTCCTCTGCCATTTTGACCAATTCTGCATTTCCAGACTTTTACTAGCTGGCAAGCAGTAAAATAATATCAATTCAAACACTACTATGGTCGAAAAGTGAGAATGACGATCCTAAATTATGACAAACCTTGAGCAAATAAAGCGTTTTATTTGTTTATTCATAATTCATTGAAAAAGCAGGAAATATGAGTTGGAAATCACGAACTACCGAAAATAAAAACTTTGTTTAGCAAATGAAGAAAAAGCCGCATTTACCAGTCCCGGGGATGGAACTCTTCAAGGATCATGCTAAATAATAAAAAATGCTTCACGCTTCTTGGGGAAAATAAAAAGTGTCTTTCACGGGTAACGACAATACCAAGTGGGTCCCTAATATGTTTTATACACCTACTCTATAAACAATACATCACAAGTATTATAATTGTCTATTTTGTACTGTATACCTCTCTTGTGAATATAAGGCCACGGTATTGTTCAGCGTATGCACTGAACGCGTGAGAGAGACGGTAACGTCACCTTAGCCACATTCCTTTTTAAATTAACGCAATTTAACTATTTTGATGCTACGCAGTAAAGCCGAAGCATTGTTAGCGTGTCCTTAATTAAACCGTCTCCATTTAAAACGACACGGTGCAGCAAAGGCGACGCATTGTAATATCGCCCCTAATTAAGACCTCTAATTCTACTTAGTCACTAGAGGACTTGTTAACTTTACTCTGTCTAGGTGCCACGATTTCTTAATAGTAAATATCATGAGAATTGGTGATCTGGGAGTAGTATAAAAGCTCGTCCTCACAGTTGCCACTTATCTCGCTAGCTGACAGCTAAGACAGATCATCTCTGGAGTAAGGTGAGTCTCAGTGGTACCTTCAAATAGTACCGTCAGTTTTGAACTGGAGCCAGGATACATGTACAAGGGGATGAATGTATAACAGTAGGCATGGACTATTTTACACAGGACAGGAAAATTTCTAATTGTTGTCTCGCTTGTTCGTTAGACTGTTTTCTGAGGGGGCTGGGAAGGAAAAGGGAACTAACGTATGTCCAACTTTACCCTCCCCTGCATTGGGTGCCTCAGCATTGATACTTATTTTTTTTTTATTTCCAGTTTCATCATGCTTCGCCTTATCATCCTCGCCTTGGTGGGCAGTGCCCTCGCTAGATACGACGAGCATCATATTGGTGAGTAACCTGCCTGGCGAAATACTGTTTAATTTCTCTACTTATATGACGCATGTTATTTTGAATAACATCTAGATTCAAAGGTACTCAACGCAATTGTTGGACAAATATCTAAATATATCAAAATGATAAGAATAATGAATAGGCTTAACCCGTTACGCGGACTAAACGTGGTATCTTTTTTATTACGTCGACTGCGATCGCCTTAACTTGATGGTAGCATTTTGGATTTCGTTTCAAAGCAAAATCGGTACAAGTAGCATACACGTGTAGCAGTGATATTTAACAAATATAAACTATTTATCTATATCCACAGCTCCCAAATTCAACGACTTCTGCAAAAAGTGCATAGAAGAGAGAAATGGCGTTGGCTACTACGAGAACCCAGAAGACTGCAAAACTTATCTCCAGTGTGATTTGGATGATGATCTTAACATCAAGGTTCACGTGAAGGAATGTGCTGAAGGCACCCTCTTCGACGGTACCATCGTTACCTGCGTTCCATGTGAGGTCGCCACCTGCCCAGGCAGCAAGGTCCCATACCCACAGTGCCCACCAAGAAGTGAGTTAATGGTTTTTATTTTGCAAAAAGAATCACTATAGAGATATACCACTAGTCAACATTACAAAGACAATGTATGGACATGTTTTCATCTTAAATGAATACGAGCTTTCGTTAAGACGGCATCACTGCTTGTTTACAATTTCAAGTTTAACATTAACATACACCTAAAAACAAGCCTTCTTGATCCTCAGCCGCCCCACCAACCACCACCCTCGCTTACACCACCCTTCCCCAGTTTGACGGCAAATGTGACGGTCCTGACGGATGGACCTACTTGGCCGTGTGGGGTGATGCCAACACCTTCTACAGATCCCAGACCCTTGGTGATGAGACCAGAATCGAGCGTGTCAGCTGCGGACAGTGGGAGTTCAACGTCAAGAGATGCATGTGCATGGTTCCAGGTATGTGCGAATCTGACAAATATCATATTACATAAATACTTTTCACGAATTCAGTTACTCCACAATGTCCACTGTTATATTTGTATCCATTCTTAAACATGGAATGACAATGTATTCATTATATTGAAACATATCTTACAGATCTCCAGGCTATCGCCCTGTGGCCTTTCGATGAGCACACCGACACCACCGTCGATAACTTCTGGACAGACTGCGCTGGTGTAGAGCTTTCTGACGGTAAAGTCGGATACGCTGCCCACTTCAACGGCACCGTCCACTGCGAGGTCCCACGTTTTAACAACTACCCATGGGGCTCTGCCCTCACCATTTCCTTCTGGTACAAGAACGCTGCTCACGCTAAGAACGACCGTGAGGGTCTCCTCAGCAACGGTAACTGCGCCATCGAGCCAACCATCTCCTTCTGGTCTGACCGCGGCTATCTTGGAGGCCGCGTCCTGGTCAACAACAACGGCACTCTCCTCACCGTCGACCTCGGCAAAAACGTAAGTATTGTTCAAAAACGGCATAGATTAAGAAAAATGATTGTTGCATATTCTCTACCCGAGGCCAGTTGAGTGATGTGTATATATATATATACTCACAGAAAAGAGCACAGATATTGCCAGAGAAATGCCTGTGACTATTATGTAATTAACATACAATTTTAATTTTGCGATTATACTACATATCTATCCTCCCGACGTCACTACAACAAACAACGTCAAACATCATATCTACTTCTTTAACGTCACCATCTCATAGAACGTTATGTCGCAACTAGCATGGTCCTAACCGCATTGTAACGTAATACGGAAGCAGGCGTGAACACAGTTGTTACAAAATGTTTTAAATTGTTAGTAATGGATAGCTTCACTTGAAGAGGCCTTATTATAGTGAAACGATAAACAACTGTACATAACTCTATGCCATCTTGGTTAAAATAATGTTTTTTTTTTATAAATAATCAAAACGTGCTCTGTTGATTACGTCAGAAATGCACCTCAGACGAATGATTCAAGAAACCATTTTTAGTATTTCACAAAAGCTACATAATACCGTCCTAAGTGGACTGATAGGTGCTCTGGAGAACCAGAGATACCTGAAGCCGAAAATGAAATTTTACCCACAAAAACGCCTCTATTATGTAATCCGAAGAAAATGTATCTATGAAGTATGCACAATCATAATTACGTCATATGCCACGGTATCCCCTAAACTTTGCATTATACTCCTATTATTGATATTCTTCACATCACAGGGTGGCAGCGGCTGGAACCACGTCGCCATGGTTTACGATGGTCTCAGACTGGTGCTTTACGTCAACGGAAAAGTTGTCGTTGATGATATCGCTGTCGGTATGTACAGTTATTTTGAAATTTATTAATAGCTATATGTTCAATTTTTTAAAACTCTTTGCTGCCTCTGCTATAGGATATATTTAATTGTTCGTCACGAGTATTTTCCAACTAAAAAAAGATAATATATAAGATACGATAACAGTGTTTATATTGTGATCTATAATTTTCCAGAAATATTCAATTTTGTGAAGATTGTTTCAGTTTCATTTTATTATTTTCTACAGGTGCTATCCCAGCTACCCTTGCTCCACTGTACATGGGCAGAGACTTGAACTGTGAGGCCGTTGATGCCCGTTACAGCAACACCAACCTTGTCGGATTCCTCGATGAGGTAATTCTTCTGGATATCTTTATTTGTTGGATTGGAATGAAAAAAAATTAGGGTATCTTTATTTGTTAGATTGAAATGAAAATCTGTACTACTTGCTTGTTTAACAACTGTTTCCGAACAAGTCAAAAATGTAATTTGGACAGGAATATTGTTATATCTGCTATATTCACTGGAATATTCAGGATATCATTGAGCGGAGTGGGAAGATGATTGTTTCAGTGTCATTAATTACCTTAATTGAAATGAAAAAGCTTTTTATTGCATACCAGCTGCTGTAAGATGAGATAAATAAGAAATTCAATTTAATGTAAATAGATGATCTTCATTTTATTGAATCGGCCATTTTGCCACTTTTGTCACTTCAAGAGTTCGAATATAGATTGCCAACTCCACCGTATTATGCATGCGCGTGCCTTACATACACAATTGGTTTTTAAAATTCTATAGTATTCTGTTATATGCTTCTATAGTATGCTTCACAACCTGATTACTTTCTATCTTTGTTGATAATAAATTGGAAGGTTCTTTTCACATTTCACATGTACTTTATTCAGGTCCAGATCTACGACTGGGCTCTTACCGACGCCATGATCTGGAAGCTCAATGCTGGAGAGAGAAACATCAAGATGGCCAGAACTGACTAAATGAATTGTCTGTTATTGCCAATGACGACCGCAATACCTCATGAAGAATGTTCGGACTTAGTGCGTTTGACAGTGCGTGAAACGCGAAGGTCGAGCTGAATTTCAATTTCACTTTCAAGTTAAAAATATCCATGATATGACTATGATGTCTGTGGACAGTCACCCCAAGTTTTTAGACTGACAACGACTCACTGATATTGTTATTGTGCGCCGGTTTCGATACGAGTAAGCTCATTTTGGTTATAGAATGAGTAGAACAGTGAGACTGCGAAACTCAGGGTACGCGTAGAAAGAACCATACAGTATGAACAGTGTCGACGTGTATTTATTTATCGTAGCATTTTAATTTTAATAAAAAGAAACAGCACATGATATATTTTTCTTGTGTCACAGATTTTTAAAAACAAAATGAGTTTCTATGTTGAGTGGGCAAATGTCTTTGGTGCTTGCTATATGCCGATGACGTAGCCCACTTAGCACCGAACCCTGACGATCTCCATGTATTAAATGTATAACGTACGAATTTCTGATTTATTTGCAAAAAAAGATGCAACTTAAAATTTGATGAAACTACACTGATCCCCAAAATCAAAGTAATATTGTTATCAATTTTCTTCAAAATTAACCCTGTGAAAATTTATGTCGTTATTGTACACGCACTTTGTGCCTCTTGCCATATACATGTAAACATTCACATCATTATCCATACCTAGTAAACAACAAAAAAACAAGATATTGGTTGTTCGATGAAAGCCACTTTTATTAGATAAGCCCACTGAAGAATTTTCTTGAAAAGTAATTTGATATAGGAACTCTTTTGTTACCTAAGTGTACAACTAAACCGTGACGTGCTACAATTCACCGTTTAGCTCGACTGAGCAAAATGCCACTGTCCGGCTTAGATGTGTGCGCAGGGGGCTCTACTTATCGACAACAGTTTAGGCGGGGTAGATGTATACAGGAAAACGTTTGGCTGGCATCTTGGGCTCAATATTGAAAATCAACTTGTACATAGCGTTATATAACAAGTTATAGGAAGCTATCACATGCAAGCTTGTTATGTTGGCAAACAGATTGCCAGGCAGTATATAAAGCAGCGTGTCTTACATCCAGGTAGGTAGCAAAACTACGTCAAACGAACCAGAAGTGGTTTAAATGCGTTACAGGGAATCTCCGCTCACTTTATCTGTAACTTTCTGAACACACCAGAGAGCTCAGTATCTTGCCGTATGAAACACTAATGCACTGCACATAGAATATTATTAGTGAAAGATACACCTAGGAATCTCACACGTACTGATAAGCGCCTTCGGACACAAAAGCTATCTGAACCAAATTGCAGCTCCTTCACAAAATTCAAAGAAATGTGTTAGAGGAGACAAGCAGTTTGATAAAACAAAGACGATGTTGTTAATGCTGAATTTCAAGCAGTCGTTTAGTTAAAGATTAATATATATCTCAATCTAGGTTGCTCTCTCCCCGTGTGCCGTGCGTTAAAATCGTTCACGATTTACTTCGTGATTCTTTTCGGATTGTCACAATTTTCTTTCACAAATTCCAAGAGGCCACGGAGACCGTGATTCATTATGAATTGGCAGAGCCACACCTTGCCTCCACGCAGAAGCTACATGGAAAGTAAGAATACTGGCACTTCTCATGCGAAATGTAACCTAGACATCAACGAGCTCAGGTGACTGATGATTACAATGAAAGGGCATGAAAACCAAGATTCCCTATCCCACTACGTGAATGGAGACAATCAACAGTATTAGATCAGATTAGCAGTACAAGAAGAACACGTTAAGTTCAAACTTTTTCATATATTTACAATACATTTTATCGTAGTGAATCCGGTGAAATTTTACACATGTGATAAGCAATGCCATGGTTTATAATGGTTAATCAGAATGAGGAAAACTATTATGTATAACTAAAAAGCAATTAAAATAGGGTGATTTGCTGGGCTACAAGTAATGGTTTCTCGGTGGTTTCCAATTTGAAAATAAATTATCAACTCAGCTTAAGCTTGGACGTCCAACATGTATGTTTGGGACTAATCAATAAATTTCAAAATGTTTTGATCAACAGAGAAAAATAGTTAATGGCATATTTAGGTGGACATACTTATAGGCCATGAGCCAGACACTTTGTTGGTATCAAAAAGGGCCTAAGTCTTTTTTGTTTAAATATGTGTGATAGCATTCTCATACTGGTAGTTTTTATGTGCTATCACAATATCGTAAGTATAAATATGGACTGAAGAAGAAAAAACTTTTCTGCATTAGTTGCGCACAGAGAGAGAGCGCGTTTTCTCCTAAGGTATAAACGTGAGTGAAAGAAGGAAGACTTACTTTTTTGCATTATTTGTAGAATTCATTTACTGTTAAAATCTACTTACTTTTCAATGTATTTTAATACAAAATTATTTTTACCAATGCAGATATTCCTGTTGTGGTTGAGAAAAGTAGTTTGTGAATGTTTTGCTTAAACCTTTGCTGGGATGAACGTAGTCATGGACCTGTGATGATAGTTGAAAACAACAAAGAACTGTGAATAACTCTTGGGGAGGGTCTTTATTGCAAAGTTCGTTTATTGCAAAGTTCCGTTTACTATACAATGTTTTGTTTTTGTAAATGTTTTATTGGTTTGTTTTACTGCAGTAAAGCGTGGATAAAACAGTACAATTCAGAAAACTTAGAGCAGCGGATCACTCGGCTTGTGAGTCGGTGAAGCGCACAGCCAGCTGCGTGAATCAATGTAAATAGCAGAACACATCGCACATTGATATCTCGGACGATATATAAATGTGTTGAATAAACACAATAAATTTTACTTTAATTTTTTTATCATCATAAACAAAATGGATAGATTCAGTTTTCAGTAACAGCCCACACCAACCACATCAGTCAGATACCGGGGTATTGTTAGAGACCGTTCACCAACCACATCAGTCAGATACTGGGGTATTGTTAGAGACCGTTCACCAACCACATCAGTCAGATACTGGGGTGTTGTTAGAGACCGTTCACCAACCACATCAGTCAGATACTGGGGTGTTGTTAGAGACCGTACACCAACCACATCAGTCAGATACTGGGGTATTGTTAGAGACCGTTCACCAACCACATCAGTCAGATACTGGGGTATTGTTAGAGACCGTTCACCAACCACATCAGTCAGATACTGGGGTATTGTTAGAGACCGTTCACCAACCACATCAGTCAGATACTGGGGTATTGTTAGAGACCGTTCACCAACCACATCAGTCAGATACTGGGGTATTGTTAGAGACCGTTCACCAACCACATCAGTCAGATACTGGGGTATTGTTAGAGACCGTTCACCAACCACATCAGTCAGATACTGGGGTATTGTTAGAGACCGTTCACCAACCACATCAGTCAGATACTGGGGTATTGTTAGAGACCGTTCACCAACCACATCAGTCAGATACTGGGGTATTGTTAGAGACCGTTCACCAACCACATCAGTCAGATACTGGGGTATTGTTAGAGACCGTTCACCAACCACATCAGTCAGATACTGGGGTATTGTTAGAGACCGTTCACCAACCACATCAGTCAGATACTGGGGTATTGTTAGAGACCGTTCACCAACCACATCAGTCAGATACTGGGGTATTGTTAGAGACCGTTCACCAACCACATCAGTCAGATACTGGGGTATTGTTAGAGACCGTTCACCAACCACATCAGTCAGATACTGGGGTATTGTTAGAGACCGTTCACCAACCACATCAGTCAGATACTGGGGTATTGTTAGAGACCGTTCACCAACCACATCAGTCAGATACTGGGGTATTGTTAGAGACCGTTCACCAACCACATCAGTCAGATACTGGGGTATTGTTAGAGACCGTTCACCAACCACATCAGTCAGATACTGGGGTATTGTTAGAGACCGTTCACCAACCACATCAGTCAGATACTGGGGTATTGTTAGAGACCGTTCACCAACCACATCAGTCAGATACTGGGGTATTGTTAGAGACCGTTCACCAACCACATCAGTCAGATACTGGGGTATTGTTAGAGACCGTTCACCAACCACATCAGTCAGATACTGGGGTATTGTTAGAGACCGTTCACCAACCACATCAGTCAGATACTGGGGTATTGTTAGAGACCGTTCACCAACCACATCAGTCAGATACTGGGGTATTGTTAGAGACCGTTCACCAACCACATCAGTCAGATACTGGGGTATTGTTAGAGACCGTTCACCAACCACATCAGTCAGATACTGGGGTATTGTTAGAGACCGTTCACCAACCACATCAGTCAGATACTGGGGTATTGTTAGAGACCGTTCACCAACCACATCAGTCAGATACTGGGGTATTGTTAGAGACCGTTCACCAACCACATCAGTCAGATACTGGGGTTAGAGACCGTTCTGAACGAGTTACGTCGACTTGCAGCTCTTACTTCACGCTAGTGATAATATATTGCAGTACTTGAAATAATAACTGTGGTAATAATGAGAAAATGTGAAAATTTTGAAAAAAATACGTAAGTAATAAGCGGGCATACACAGTCTACTATTAAATATAAGACCAAATAAAGCTATCCCATTTCTCGTCGCCTCCCGCGACACAACGTTTTGGTGGTTGTTTTTGGTCGGAGCCGGTGCGTGGTTTTTAACAACAAGGCTATGTCTGAAGAAAACACTGGTAGTCAGAGACCAGTAAAACACTGGCAGTCGGAGACCAGTAAAAACATGTATAGAGTTCTTTTAGTTGAAAGGCGACACCGAAAGTACAAATTTAGATTTTAAAACCTTTCTTTTATACGATACTTTTAAAAGTGCGCCCTGGTGGACCTATCAGAGACACATTATTTGAAATGCCATGGAAAAATGCTAAAATTCGGGGTGCTTTGTCATTTAAAACATAGTTGATTTTTCATGTTAAGTTTCATGTGCAGCTCTTCCGGACAGCTCTTCTTTGTGATTTTTTTAAAGAAAAGTCTGTATACTTCAGTAATGGTTATGTTACGTTATGTTGTGTTGTTTGTTTATCTTTTTATTTATTTATACAAAGTTTGTTTCAACTAAAAATAAATAAAACACCACAGACTTTTCTTCGGGCGCCGTTCAGCTCGTTAAATTATTGAATAAAAGAAGAACGGTTATGCAAATCCAAAAAGGATATTAAATTATAGATCTACATGTATTTAATTTGAAATTTATGATCACCTGTGCGGGACAGAGCACCTTTACGGTAGTGGGGATGGTTTCTGAGGCTAACGACTCTGCTAAATGGCTTGACAAAATTGATCAGTTGGTTAACGAGCGGCGTCTCTGTATAAACAGGGTTGGTATAGCCCATACATGAACCAGACGCTTGATTTTCGGCCTTTGGTACCAAAAATGGGACGACTTGCTATGCCCATTACACATATTTGAAGTAAAATAATTTAATGTTTAATGTTCTCATAGCGCTTTTTAGTAAGGCCTATGTCTCTAGTGTCCAAATATGTGTGATAGCTTTCTCATACTGGTAACTTTTTGTGTGCTGTCACACCTTATATAACCCCACCCCTGCAGCAGCAAAGACTTTTTTTCAGATGGGAGTAGGGGAGAGAAAACACTTACTATATCTATATGGTAACAGGTATATCAATAAATTGTATATCTTTATAGAGGCAAGGGATGGGACAATTAATTTCATTAGTCATGAATGCATCGCAATTAGTCACGGGTCATTGATAATGGGTCAAAGGTCACAGGAGGTCTTTCTTTGGTAATTTTTCATAAAATAAAACCAATTTTTTAAAAATCATTGTTTTTGATTACGAATATGGTAGGTGAGTGATTTGTAAACATGGTATAGTCTTATGCTTATGATCAAAATTTGGAGCCTCAGCTGTCTTATTTTAGATAATTATGCAAAAGAATGTGAACCTTAGGGTCAAAATATACCCTCTTTAAAAGTGGGGGTAGGTGAGAGAATATGGTTTAAAATATATCAATGCATTATGTATCCTTATGAAGGTCAGAGGTGGGACAATTAATTTCATAAGTCCTGAATGCATGACAATAAGTCAAGAGTCATTGATAATGGGTCAAATGTCGCAAGAGGTCATATTTTATGGATTTTTCATAAATTTCAACCAAAATCTTTTTAAAAAACATTGCTTGAGAAAGAAATTTAATTTTGGCAAATGATTTGTAGACATGGTATATAGTGTAATGCTTATGAACAAAATTTGGAGCCTCGACTGTCTTATTTTAAAAAATCGTGCAAAGTAATAAAATGTGAACCTAACATTCAAAATATGGGTTCTTTGAAAGTGGGGGTAGGTGAGAAAAAATGCTTGTCATATCAATTTGGTCAAAGATATAACAATGCATTATATATCATTATAGAGTCAAAGGATGGAACAATTAATTTCATAAATCATGAATGTATGAATAATTAGTCAAGGGCCATTAATAAGGGATCAAGTGTCACAAGTGGTCATATTCTACGGATTTTTAAAATTTAAACCAAAATCTTTTTTTTAAATATTGTTTGAGAAAGAAATTGATATTTGGTGAATGATTTGTTAACATGATATACCCATTAGCATAATGCTTATGAATAAAATTTGGAGCCGCAACTTTTTTATTTAAAAAAATTATGTAACTAGTTAAGTGTCAACCTTACAGTCATAATATGCCCTCCTTGAAAGTGGTGGTTGGGGAGAGAAACTGTTCATCATTTGAAGATAGTAGAAGATACAGCAACAAAATGCACATATTTATGCAGCTTTGGGAAAGGATAGTTAATTTTTTGATGAAGACACATGTAAACAAAGCCATGCTTCATTAGAAATATTCATTGGAAATAGGTCAAAAGGTCGGATTAGGTCACAATTCAGCATCAGTGTAAGCTTTTTCATAAATATGAACTTAAACAGCATTAAACGAGAACATTTAAGTTTATAGAAATAATTCTGGGCTATAACTACATGTTGGTGACTATTAAAGACTAGTTCATTAAGTCTGAGGCCCTTTCTTTAATTTTTAGATTTTTTAAATTGCAAATTATATGACTTCAATTCAAAATATAAGTGAGAAGTTTCTGTTATAAGGAGTAAGAGAGTGAAATTCTACTCTCATTCAATTTGGAAGAAGTAAGGTAGATAACTACTGTGACATAGCCTGTATCCAAAGGATATCAATTTTTCTTTTTTATAGAGCGCACATTAACATGCATAAATGGGTCAGTGGTTGGTCAACGATCACCCACACTCACTTTACAGCATAAAAATCTAAGCATTATCTAAAAAGCTTAACATTTAGATGAAAACGTTTGGATGATTTTAATGATTTTAAAATGATACCTGTTATTTATAAAACATATTCAAGGGAATAACTAAAAGTTTTTTCTTTCTTTCTTTCTTTCTTTTCTTTTTCTTTTGCATTTGAAAGATATAAAATTTCTAAATTTGTATTATTAAATACAACACCCTTTATAATCAACAATTATGCAGTTCACCATCAGACAGTATCTGAGGTCCATTGGGGCTATACGCGGAGCCGTTTGTCCTAAAGAGGGCGCTGGGGTAATAGTGGTTATTGAAGATAGCCTCGTTTTCGCGTCCGTGTAGAAATGGCTTTAGAGTATGGGAAGCAAACGGTGGCGAAGTTACAACTTCAACTAGTTGAAAGAGGAGCCTCCACAAGAGGAAAGAAACAGGATTTGATAGAAAGGTTAGTGTATTTACTTATAAATGTGTCAATTGTATCACTAACATTGAAGGTTTCGCGCTCGAATCTTCCCGTAAAATATGGGTTTCTGTGTGAGCTCCCTGTCAAAAGCCAGGTGTAAGCGACGGCTAGTTCCGCACTATTTATATGCCTAATTTATTACTTTATTTCAAGATAATGATATTGTCATTGCATATTTCCATATTCCGAGAATATAATGAAGGTATTTATGTTTAAAATATGTTTATTGTAGGCACTCCTAGTCGATAAAGGACCGTTCGTTTCGGTAATCAAATTTCGTGTACCAGGTCCGACATTTAACACATGACATGTGTCAACGCAAATTTGTAAGGGAGAAACAAGGCTTGATGCGGGTTTTATGTCAATGACAGTGGACATAACTAAGTGTAGATGAGGTAGACAATCAAAACAGTGTTTGGCAAGAATGTTAGCATCGTTTTTCCCTTTTTTCTCTTTTTAATTCTAGCCATTCATTGAACTGATATTTTCATTATAATTATATGACTGTTTTTTCCTCTACTAGATTTGAGGCATATGACAGGAACAACAATTTTGCTAAGGACAGCATCGTCCTCCCAGCCCCCACTATTGTCAGTTGGCCAACCTCGGGTTTTAAACAACTGCACGCAGAGCACCATAAACTGATTCCACGTCTGTATCCATCAGTAGCTGAAGGCTACTTTCTGTACCAGCAGGTGTGCGATGGAGAAGGGGCAAGAGATTTAAAGGCGCTTGAAAAGGGAGAAAAGCTATTGCAAGCAAGGTTTTTGTGGAAGTTATTGAGGCAGAGAAAGAATTTGCTCAATACTGCATGCTACCAAGACTGCAATTATTCTATGAAAAATATTATCGCAAATACATTGTGAAAACTCTATAAATTTATTTTTTAACTGGTCATTAGGGTTAATGTGATGTTTTCCATTAATAAGGTGTTCAAAAATTGTATTTCACAATTTTTATTCTTTGGACCAGGTCATTGGTGTTAGTGTGATATGTTCTCCATTAATGATGCTCAAATATTGTATCCAACATTATTCTTTTGCCACAAGTCATTAGCATCAATGTGATATGTTTTCCATTAATAAGGTGCTCGATTCTTGTATTTCACAATATTTATTCTTTTGCAACAAGTAATTTGTATCAATGTGATATGTTCTCCATTAATAAGGTGCTCAAATATTGTATTCAACATTTTTTTCTTTTGTAACTGGCCATTGGTGTCAATGTGACATGGTCTCTGTTTATAAGGTGCTTAAGCTGTATTTCACATTAGTTCTTCAATTGCAAAAACACGCCAGCGTTGTATTGTATATACATTTATTTATCTTTTTATGGATGCAATTGGGACATTAAAAATTCCTTCAATACTGTCAATTTTGAACATTCTATGAAAAATATTGTCACAAATACATAAATAAATTTATTCTTTTGCAACTGGTCATTTGCTGGTACAGCATGATGCTTTCTCTTGTGTCTGATGGTGTAATGATATCACACTGGGAAGATGTACTTTCTTTTCGGCTCACACCAGGGCAGTCTTCATGTTTGTCTTCCACTGCTTCATCTGCTTGAGACTCAACCTATAGGATACAACAAAGAATAAATACATAAGTTAATAAATTACACAAAGAAAAATACTTCATGTATTAATTAACACATAAAATCGGTGTAGATGACAGAAATGATGCAGATCTGACTGCCTATTGTCCCCTTTAGTCCGTCTCTAGTATTTCTAGTATTTACACAGATAATTATACAAATAAAAAGAAACTTTTTATTTATAAATCTGTTATTATATCATGCGTTATAATATATTTACCTCCACTTCATGAATATAATCAGGAGCTGTTGGTACTGTCACCGGATCTGATAGGCCTACTTTGCGGCGTTTAGCTAGACGGCTAGTACGTGATGATGGTACGTCTTTCACTTTATTAAATGGAAATATGGATGGTATCGTTCCTGGCTTCAGTCTTTTTCTCTCATCTGCAAAAGGAGTGCACATAACGATTATTAATACAATAAAAATCAAGTTGAAAACGTGGCCTTTAAAAAACCTTATGGATTATCACATAAAAACGAAGAAATAATTGTAGTGGCTGGTCGGTGTTGACCCGGGCTCGGTAGCTTAGTCGGTAGAGTGTTTTCTCCCCCCAAATCGCTACATAATGTTAGGTGAAAAATGTCTTAAAAATTAACATTCTAAGCACGTTAAACGACATAATTACTTAAACATCGATAACAAAGACCTAATGAATAAGTTGACAAACTCATTATTAATACTAAAAGCGACAACAGCAAGTACAACTTACGTACAAGTGTAGAAATGTAATCTTCCTCACGAAAGTGGAGGAAACAGACTGTCATGTGCCTTTGGTTTCCATAGTGTTTTTGATGTAGAATCAACCCTCCTGATGGCAACTCTCCACTGGTAACTCAGCTTTGTGTCTTTCGGAAAAGAATGACCTCCTGTTGACGATGTACATTCCGGAACACAACAGTATCCTGGCATTATTTAGAGCGATATTTACAGCGTCAGATTAAAAATGAAACTGCAAACACGCGAGAAAGTACGCGCATGCGCAAAAGTACCCCAACTAAAACAAGCGCGCCACCCAGTGGTGAAAAAAAATGATAGCCCCATTCAGTGTACACAATGGATAGTTTTCCATCTAAGCAAATTTGTAAAAATTGAAAGAACAATGATTTCTAAAAATAGCAGTGCATATTATGTAAGCCACTGTATAGGTGAAAATATTGATTTGGAATAAGTATAGAAGTATAAAATCTTAATTTACTGAAGAATTAAACATAGTCTATTAATAAACATGAATGTGATCAGGAACTTATTCTGCCACAAGCAGCTTGGTTTCCACATTTCTTTTACCATCTAATACGGAAACTTTAATTGGCAGATTTAGAATGCCAAATCTTCTGTTACAGTATACAGTGTATACAGTGTATATAGTGAGAGAGTGAACATATTTCATTTCAGTTTGGAATTTTTTTCTATAATTATTACCAGTATACTAGCGCCCAAGTACTGACTGGGCTGGCTCATGGAAAAAATGATCTAACTGATGGCTAACTTAAATTACTAATAGCTAAAACAGACTGTTCAACCAAATAATTGATAAAATTGACAAAACACATTAAGACAATTATCAACATGAGAATATGGTTATATGTGCCATGATACCTACTTCTGCTAATCTATATATTAACTGTTACTAACGTGTTTGGTTCACACTTAAAACTAGTAAACATAATTTTCTAAAATCAGACAGCTGATGCTCCAATTCTGCTTATAAGCACAGGACTTTACCAAGTTTACGAATCATTTTAAGCCAGAAAGGCCACCGTTCACTGGTGTATTTGTGATTTCCTCGACTTCCTTCGCACTCCAAGTCCGAGTGGTAATGTAGCAGAGTGCTCTTAACCGACACCGCACTGAAGCTTGGATAACCAAGTGTAAGAATATGTCGCTGGCTACAGTATGTTATCGATGGTCGTGTTCATCTGTGTGACCAGAGAATAAAGTAATAAATGTATCACGTGTTGTGGTCGCGTTATTCACCAAAAACGTGCCGTTTTTGTGCAGATATTATTTCTTAACAAGAAGGCAATGCACCTACATGCATACCAAAGATCAAATGTATCGCAAGTGTAATAAGCTGCCTATTTTGGCAATGTATACCTCTCCTGTGAATATAAGGCTGCAGTATTGTTCAGCGGGTACACTGAACGCGTGAGAGAGACCGTAACGTCACCATAGCCACATTCCTCCTTTAAATTAAGACAATTAAACCAAATTGACGGCACACAGTAAAGTCGAAGCATTGTTAGTGTGCCCTGAATAAAATCGTTTAGATGACACGGCGCAGCAAAGGCGACGCATTGTAACTTCGATCCTAATTAAGACATTTAATTAAACTTGGTCGCTAGAAGACTTGTTAACCTTACTCTCTATGGATGCCAAGATTTCTTAATAGTAAATATCATGAGAATCAGTAATCTGGGAGTAGTATAAAAGCTCGTCCTCCCAGTTGCCACTTATCTCGCTAGCTGACAGCTTAGACAGATCATCTCCGTAGTAAGGTGAGTTTCAGTGGTACCTTCAAATATTTCCCTCGGTGTGAACAGGAGGCAGTACACGAGTGATTGTATTAATACGAGAATACGAGTGATTGTATTAACGGCGGTGACAAGGCAATATATACAATGACCGTGTATTTCATGGCAAACAGAATTTTTACCTTTCGTGTTACTTTGTCAGAGTTCTTCCAGATACAATGTACATGTTCTAGTGGAGTCAGGGGTTTGACATGGGGAGAAGGAGCAGTGGAAACTTTAAACGCTTTGGTATTATTATTATTGATTTACATTGTGCTACACATTTGTACAAACTCAGGTTAAGCGTTAGTTTTTGTTTGTTTGTTTTTTTTCAGTTTCATTATGCTTCGCCTTATCATCCTCGCCTTGGTGGGCAGTGCCCTCGCTAGATACGACGAGCATCATATTGGTGAGTAATTAAATATCTGCCCGACGATAACAAATATACCAATTTATTTCTCTTCGTATTTAGCTGGCTCGTTAACATATGAACCATAGATTTTTTTCTTTAACATATCAAGTTAAAGGTACATACGATGGAACGTCGCTGCCGGACAAGTATCTTTATATATATATAGATATAAAAGAAATTTAAGTATATTATATATCAAATTACAAGAATAATGAGTAGCCTGTTAAGCAATTTAAACGTTACTACAAATGTATGTAATTATTTTGGATTTGGTTTCTAAACAAAATTGATAAAGGTAGCTGCATGTACCAGTATTAGAGTGCTATCTGTAAATTGTAAACATTTTATTATATTCACAGCTCCTAAATTCAACGACTTCTGCAAGAAGTGTATCGAAGAGAGAAATGGCGTTGGCTACTACGAGAACCCAGAAGACTGCAAAACTTATCTCCAGTGTGATTTGGATGATGATCTTAACATCAAGGTTCATGTGAAGGAATGTGCTGAAGGCACACTCTTCGACAGTACAATTGTTACCTGCGTTCCATGTGAGGTCGCCACCTGCCCAGGCAGCAAGGTCCCATACCCACAGTGCCCACCAAGAAGTGAGTTAATGGATCTCATTTTACATGTACAAATCAAAGCATAGGATAACGCAGACATTGTATGGAAATATCTTTTCATCTCAAATAAGCACAAACTAAAATCATTAAGACTGATTGTTTACCATTTTAGGTTTAACATTGCCATACCTAAAAAATAATACTTCTTTTTCCTCAGCCGCCCCACCAACCACCACCCTCGCTTACACCACCCTTCCCCAGTTTGACGGCAAATGTGACGGCCCTGACGGATGGACCTACTTGGCCGTGTGGGGTGATGCCAACACCTTCTACAGATCCCAGACCCTTGGTGATGAGACCAGAATCGAGCGTGTCAGCTGCGGACAGTGGGAGTTCAACGTTAAGAGATGCATGTGCATGGTTCCAGGTATGTGATGATCTAATTAAGATCTTATAGTTTTGACAACAATTACTTTACATTACCGATACTTTCACGTTTCAGCGTTTTCTTTTTACCAATTCAGTCACTACATAATGCCAGAACATTTGAATAGTCTTTCATAAAAGGGAATTAAAATGTATATAATATACTGAAACATTTCTTACAGATCTCCAGGCTATTGCCCTGTGGCCTTTCGATGAGCACACCGACACCACCGTCGATAACTTCTGGACAGACTGCGCTGGTGTAGAGCTTTCTGACGGTAAAGTCGGATACGCTGCTCACTTCAACGGCACCGTCCACTGCGAGGTCCCACGTTTTAACAACTACCCATGGGGCTCTGCCCTCACCATTTCTTTCTGGTACAAGAACGCTGCTCACGCTAAGAACGACCGTGAGGGTCTCCTCAGCAATGGCAACTGCGCCATCGAGCCAACCATCTCCTTCTGGTCTGACCGCGGCTATCTTGGAGGCCGTGTCCTGGTCAACAACAACGGTACTCTCCTCACCGTTGACCTCGGCAAGAATGTAAGTATTGTTCAAAATTGGAAAAATATATCATAAATTATATTGCAGTCAAATTTCGTCTTCATATATATATTTTACCAGCTATGACGTCAACTCAATGCAAAATACTGACAGTAAAAAAAAAAAAGAGCACATACTAAGTCAGAAACATCATGAACATCTATATGAAAACCATTCTGTTGCCCTAGTAGAGGGCAGTTATTACCGGTGTTTATAGTACAAAAGTGTCTCTGAGAGACCGTTATTTCGTTAAGCAATTAGCAATGACAATAATGTATTACTACTGTTCATATTCTTCGCATCACAGGGTGGCAGCGGCTGGAACCACGTCGCCATGGTCTACGATGGTCTCAGACTGGTGCTTTACGTCAACGGAAAAGTTGTTGTTGATGATATCGCTGTCGGTATGTACCAGTGCAACATATATTTCTCTAAATTATTCTGTATATTAATTTCATTTATTTATTTATTTTATATCAATAATTTTGTATCTTATCTCTATTTTACCTATGAACATGATGGACTTGGATACATATCAATTACCAGTACTAACTTTAAAAAAAGTTAAAAATGGCAAAATCATAAGCACTGTTTCTCGACCTATTATTGCTTGTGCACATGTGTGATATAAGTAACTTAAGACCGCTAGTGAAACAATTGTATAAATACCTGCTTAAAATATTATATAAGCTAATGCCACTAGGGACATTAATGTATTTTGATATTTTTTTATCTAAGGTTATATTAGTTATATTGCAATCTGTAATTTTTCTATAGGTGCTATCCCAGCTACCCTTGCTCCACTGTACATGGGCAGAGACTTGAACTGTGAGGCCGTTGATGCTCGTTTCAGCAACACCAACCTTGTCGGATTCCTCGATGAGGTAACTAAGCCGGATACCTTTATTTGTTAGATTGAAATGAAAAAATCTTTTCCTCCTTGCCTGCCTACCAACAGTATCTGAACAAGTCAGAAATTTAATTTAATTATTATAATTTCTGCTATGTCCACTGGAGTATCCAGGACATAAAAAAGTGGGATAGGAAAGTAAATTATTTCCGTATAGTTATTTACCTTACATGAAATGACAATTTTTATCGAGGGCTTACCAGTTGCTACCGATGCGATGCGATGCGATGGTGTAAAATAAGAAAATTAATTTGATGGAAGTCTCTATTCATCTGGTTCTCTTAAATATTTTTATTGTCACACACAATGATGCAGATGAACAGTGACGTACATCTTAAGACGAATGTATTTAGCAAAGATACCATCTTATTAGAATAATTTATGATTTAAAGTAAGCGAGTCATTTTCAGAGCTCAGATAGCTTGCCAAATCCCCTCTTATATGCATTCCAGCAAACGCGTCACGTTCGTACCACGTAGTTAATCCGTCGCTATGGCATTATAATGTGGTAGCAACGTGCTAGCCACGCGATTCGAACGTGACGTGTTTGCTGGGATGCACGTGTCTTTCCGAACTGTATACACACAGTTAGTTTAGTAATTGTGTTCGTGTTTCTGTTGATAACATCAGGAAAGAGATAAATATCATTCATACTTCAAATGTTGATAACAAAGTGCAATATTCTTTATGAGCAATTTTCTCACATTTCACATGTACTTTATTCAGGTCCAGATCTACGACTGGGCTCTTACCGACGCCATGATCTGGAAGCTCAATGCTGGAGAGAGAAACATCAAGATGGCCAGAACTGACTAAATGGATGGTTTATTCATTGCCATTGACGACCGCAAAACCTTAAGGAGAATGTGTGTGGACTCAGTTCGTTTGACAGAGAGTGAAACGCGGAGATCGAACTGGATTTAATATTTCATTTTTCAAGTTAAAAACATCCTTGATATGATAATGAAGTCTATGGACGGTCACCCCAAGTTTCTAGAGTGACACGGACCCTCTGCTGTTGCCAGTTGTCGCCATTTGTATACTATCAGTAAGCGCATTTGGGTTGTAGAAGTCACAGTGAGGCTGCGAAACTAAGGGTACGCATAGAAAGAATTATACAGTACGAACAGTGTTGATGTGTATTTATTTATTATGGCGTTTTAAATTTAATAAAAAGAAGCAGAAACTGATATACATGTATGTTTTTCTTGTGTTACAGATTTTTAAAAACAAAATGATTGTCCTTATTGAGCGAGCAAATGTCTTTGGCGTTTTGTTCTATGCCGATGACGTAGCTCACTTAGCACCGACAATCTCAATATATTTAATGTATGAAGTAAGAATTTGAGATTTATTTGCAAAATAAATGGAAGAGAATTAAAATTTTATTAAACTAAGTAACAAGTCGCTTAGATAGAAAGTGAATAAATGTCAATGCTAAATGGACCTTAGCTAAAATATTCTTTAAACATCCCCATTTCATAAATATCTCGATGTGCGCATACATATCAGCAGTTTGTCAACAAATTGGAGAGAGGTGACCTTGGCTTGCAGACGATGAGATGCACCATTGGTATCGAATAGTTACTTTATTTAAATCGCTTATTAGATATGAATTACGGGAAATGGCCAGTCATGAGCTTCAATCACTGCACTACACGGACGCTGAACATTCACAAATAGTATTATTTTTAGTCCATTGCTAAAATCCTGATCGAGGGTGGCATGAAACATATTCAGGGATTTGTCAAAAATACCGCACCATTTGTGTGAATAGTGCGCTATGTGACATGGGGGACCAGTCTGTAAAAAGTAATTCGCATTTTATTGCTCGCGTAACCAGTGATGAATTTTCCAAAGTGTCTTTAGAACCTGGGCCAACGTAGCCCCAGAAGATTACTGGACCGTTATCTTTTTATGCCCGGAAGGATGGTGGCCCTATTGAGTTCACGTAGTCATCCTACAAAATATTAATACTGACATAAGATGCGCTATGTAAGGACAAAGCATGGTCTGTAAGCCAGTAGAACGGATACTAATATGACATAACCAGTTTTCAATAAAATACTAATTGAAAAACCTAACATATACAGCTATTTTCACCTTAAAGCAAAACAGTGCAATACTTGTGTCACCCCCTGTACATGTTATAGAAGGTATTGATCACGTAGCCTCTTTCAGAAAATAAGTGAAGAGCTGACGAAGCAAAATGGCTCGGAAATATGAAACAAAAATCCTTGCAAAACTATGCAGTGTTCAAAAATAAACTGAGGCTGGAACAATTTATTTTGAATTACAAAAGCTTTTTTTTTTAGACTCTAAACAAAAGAACGAACAACTTTGGACAAGTTACTGATCCAAGCTGAATAAATCCAGCTCAAACAGAATGTGTAAACGTTACAATGTTTTTTTACCACTGTCTACAGCCAAGTACATTTTGAGTGTTCAGTGCCCAATGAGGAGTCGTACGTACTACAGCCTGACCAGCAGATCAGTGGCACAATCTCATGAAGCTTTTACCAGATGTTGAAGTATTGATCTTTATAAGAGTTCTGTGCTACTAAATCAATTTTAAAATAAGCAAATTTTAAAAATTGTTTTTGAGGAACATACATTATTTGGAGAGAGTTTTTGACGTAGTTTTCAAATAAATGTATTGGTATTACATAGTATGCTCTTTTTTGTTCGCGATGAATTGTACATTTTAATCATTTGGCTTTATTTTGACATAAAAATGATATGAAATACACAATAGAAACCTTGCACCCGGATTTTTTGTTCTATTTCTAAATGAATAATGGACTAGATTAAGCCTCGGTCACAAATGGCCGAACGGACTCTTACGGCCTGTTTGCGTCCAAATTTTTCGCAGAATCTCACGTGCCACGCAAGTCTTTCTTTCGAAATTTCGAGTTGGCAGACAACCCGACTTTACCACAGACTGTTGGATGCCCGTAAGCACGCACGGAGGATATAAGTCATGTCCAAAAGATTCTTCGAATAATCTGTGAACAGCAAGGCCGCAAGCGTAACTTGCTCCCCTAGCACTGAGTTTGCAAGGAATTTCGCAAGACGCAGGTCTCAAGCAACGAAGGAGCAAGTGCCCCTTGCGTGTTGAGTAAGGTGCGGCCCTCAGAACTTATGAAAATAAAATCGAACATACGATTCATCTGAAATCTCCAAGAAAAGGTTTTATTTTTATAAGGTTTTATATGTATTCTTCTGCACCCTTGCAAACTTCTTGGTCTTTATTTTCAGTACATGTCTTTACCTCTGCCGGAATCTTCATGCATACCTTTCAAAACTTCATTTCTTTGCCTTCAGTCAGACTTCTATCAGATACCTGACAGAACGTACCCAATGATAGAGTTTTGATTGCAAATAGGAGATTGTGTTAACAGTCAATATTCCTTGAGATTCCAGCACAGTTTGTTTGTGAACGTAATAACAATACCTTCCCACTTATATTATCACTTATATATATATATATATATATATATATATATATATATTAAAAATGAAAACGTTTTTCCTGTACGAGTAATATTATATATAATAAAAGAAAAAGAAGAACAGCAACTTTCTTGCCCCGACCGGTTTCTTTCTTTCTTCAGGGGGTTTTGTTTATTTGTTACTAGGTGATGTCATAAAGGCTTAAATGTGAAAGAAAGAAACCGGTCGGGGCAAGAAAGTTGCTGTTCTTCTTTTTCTTTTATTATATATATATATATATATATATATATATATATATATATATATATATATATATATACCTTTGTTCTGTATACCTCTTTTGTGAATATAAAGCTGCAGTATTATTAAACGTTTGCACTGAACGCGTGAGAGAGACGGTAACGTCACCATAGCCACATTCCTTCTTTAAAAATGAACACAATGCATTTAACCATCTTGATGAAACACAGTAAAGTCGAAGCATTGTATGTCCTTAATGTAATCATGTCCATTTTAAACGACACGGCGCACCAAAAGCGACACATTGTAACTTGGGCCCTAATTAAGACATTTAATTCTACTTAGTCGCTAGACTGTACTCTATAGATGTCATTGTCTCGATCTCTTAATAGAAAATATCATGAGAATCAGTGATCTGGAAGTGGTATAAAAGCTCGTCCTCCCAGTTGCCACTTATCTCGCTAGCTGACAGCTTAGACAGATCATCTCCGTAGTAAGGTGAGTTTCAGTGGTACCTTCAAATAGTACCCTCAGTGTGAACTGAAGCCAGGACACGAGTCATTGTATTAATACGAGGATATGAGTGATTGTATTAACGGTGCTATCAAGATACTGTAATATATAATGACTGTGTATTTCTTGATTTCTTGTGCTTGTTTGTCAAAGTGCTTAATGTGCAGACGAATTCTGATAAATACATATAGAGGTGGGGGTGAATATATAACAGTAGGAAATGAGTATTTAACTCAGGGGTGGAAAATCACTTCATATTTTCTCGACGGTACCCCAGAAGAGAGAACCCCGTGCCTGCTTTACCTGTACATGTACCTGTATACTCAGTTAATCTTGTCATCTGAGCAACTTTAAATGTTTAAGGACGGATTCCTTGTGCGCGAAGGGATACCTTCCGACCAATTGCAACAATAGCATTCAAAAAGGCCGTGCAGTTACATGTATTTTGAAAGTGCTCTCGACCAACCACACCTCTTTCATAGTTGAGCACTAGTGGTGCATATATTTCTATCAAAGATGGGTCTACGATAAAGACATTTCAAACTACATGTATCTTTGAACGTTTTTATATTATCTATGAAATCTAAAACACCTTTCAAAACACAGATTCAACGTCGACTCTTGTGATTTTTTTTAGTTTCATCATGCTTCGCCTTATCATCCTCGCCTTGGTGGGCAGTGCCCTCGCTAGATACGACGAACATCATATTGGTGAGTAACCTGCCTGGCGAAATACTGTTTAATTTCTCTACTCATATGAAGCATTTTTAATAACATCTAGATTCAAAGTTAATCAACGCAACTGTTGGACGAACATCTAAATATATCAAAATGATAAGAATAATGAATAGGCTTAACCTGTTACGCGGACTAAACGTGGTATCTTTTTTATTACGTCGACTGCGATCACCTTAACTTGATGGTAGCATTTTGGATTTCGTTTCAAAGCAAAATCGGTACAAGTAGCATACACGTGTAGCAGTGATATTTAACAAATATAAGCTATTTATCTATATCCACAGCTCCTAAATTCAACGACTTCTGCAAAAAGTGCATAGAAGAGAGAAATGGTGTAGGCTACTACGAGAACCCAGAAGATTGCAAAACTTATCTCCAGTGTGATTTGGATGATGATCTTAACATCAAGGTTCACGTGAAAGAATGTGCTGAAGGCACACTCTTCGACGGTACAATTGTTACCTGCGTTCCATGTGAGGTGGCCACCTGCCCAGGCAGCAAGGTCCCATACCCACAGTGCCCACCAAGAAGTGAGTTAATGGTTTTTATTTTGCAAAAAGAATCACTATAAAGATATACCACTAGTCAACATTACGCATGAAAAGTATCAAAGTTGCGAATCATGAAGATATATTTTATGTCAAATAAGCGTGAATAACTATACCAAAACCTTGTAGACATCACTGACTATTATCATATTGCTTGTTTACAATTTTAATATTAACAATTTTATACAACTATTTTTCCTCAGCCGCCCCACCAACCACCACCCTCGCTTACACCACCCTCCCCCAGTTTGACGGCAAATGTGACGGCCCTGACGGATGGACCTACTTGGCCGTGTGGGGTGATGCCAACACCTTCTACAGATCCCAGACCCTTGGTGATGAGACGAGAATCGAGCGTGTCAGCTGCGGACAGTGGGAGTTCAACGTTAAGAGATGCATGTGCATGGTTCCAGGTATGTGATGATCTGCTTGACGTCTTATAATTGCAAAATTAGTAACGTTTTTATTTAAACGATAGCAATTAATAATTCTCTTGTTTTTTCTTACCAATTCAACAACTTGATAACGCGCAAGTAGTTGATAAATGGTCACTGTCATTCTTCTTTAAACAGAAAATGGAAAAAATAACATTGTATTGAAACATTTCTTACAGATCTCCAGGCTATTGCCCTGTGGCCTTTCGATGAGCACACCGACACCACCGTCGATAACTTCTGGACAGACTGCGCTGGTGTAGAGCTTTCTGACGGTAAAGTCGGATACGCTGCTCACTTCAACGGCACCGTCCACTGCGAGGTCCCACGTTTTAACAACTACCCATGGGGCTCTGCTCTCACCATTTCCTTCTGGTACAAGAATGCTGCTCACGCTAAGAACGACCGTGAAGGTCTCCTCAGCAACGGTAACTGTGCCATCGAGCCAACCATCTCCTTCTGGTCTGACCGCGGCTATCTTGGAGGCCGCGTCCTGGTCAACAACAACGGCACTCTCCTCACCATCGACCTCGGCAAGAACGTAAGTATTGGTTAAGCTCGACAAAATATTTCTGAATTCCGTTATACTATATGTCAACCACTGGCAGTATTGTTCTTTCTCGCTATCAGCATAGACACGGTAATAACAGTTTTGGTGATCTCATCCGTTGCTATTATTATCCATTTGTCATTTAGAAAGGAAAAACCTTTGCTTTCACCAAAATTCTGATTTTGTTTATAACCCGTTCTTTCTGTACTTAAACCCACCGTATAGCTAAATAAATAACTCTATGCCATCTTGGTTAAACTAATGTCTTTTTATATATAATTAAAACGTGTTTTGTTGATTACGTCAGAAATGCGACACAGACGAATGATTCAAGAAACCATTTATAGTATTTCACAAAAGCTGCATAATACCGTCCTAAGTGGACCGATAGGTGCTCTGGAGAACCAGAAATACCTGAAGCCGAAAATGAAATTTTACCCACAAAAACGCCTCTATTACGTAATCCAAAGAAAATGCAGGCCCTATCTATGAAATGTGCACACTCATATTTGACTCATATGCCACGGTATCCCCTACACTTTGTATTATACTGTTATTGTTGTTATTCTTCATATCACAGGGTGGCAGCGGCTGGAACCACGTCGCCATGGTCTACGATGGTCTCAGACTGGTGCTTTACGTCAACGGAAAAGTTGTCGTTGATGATATCGCTGTCGGTAAGCAGCTTTTTTCTCACTTATTTAATTTTATGAGCACTATTTCTTATAATCAATGTTGCCCATACAACCGTTGTCGTTTGCATTTTTTACTATATAACATGAACATGCCAGTAAAAAGATTTTTTTGCTAATTAGAACAATTTAATTTTGTGAACATGGCTTCAGTATCATTTTATTATTTTCTACAGGTGCTATCCCAGCTACCCTTGCTCCACTGTACATGGGCAGAGACTTGAACTGTGAGGCAGTTGATGCTCGTTACAGCAACACCAACCTTGTCGGATTCCTAGATGAGGTAACTCCTGTTCTATTTTCCGAAATGAAAAACTTTTTCCGTCCTTAATATCTTATGAAAATAACTTACTCTCATACGATCAGGTAGAACTATTGGAATATAGGTCCTATTCAACGGATTTAATAATTAGTATTTTACACATCTTTTCAAAAAATATCATTGTACGTGTCTAATTTTAACATTATGGTCGCAATTCTAATATAGACAAGTTGATATTGACATCTATACTGTAACTGCACTGACGAATTTTCAATTAAATAAATTTTCGAGGCTGTTAACTAATTGAGACAACTTTTGATTTTCAGGTCCAGATCTACGACTGGGCTCTTACCGACGCCATGATCTGGAAGCTCAATGCTGGCGAGAGAAACATCAAGATGGCCAGAACCGACTAAATCATTTCTTCATATACCTGACGGAAAACGATTAGATCGTACTGAACCTTTTTCATTCTTCATAAAAACTGTGGGCTCTATTTATAGTTACCCTTAGTTTATAGATGACAGCTCCATTGCCAGCACATTATTATGGCACTAAAGATGTAGGCTATAAAGCCAGGGTAGCACTGAACCCACAATATGTACAGTATAGATTCCCTTTTACTGCTTGTCGCATTTTACATAGAATAAAATCAATTTCGTAGAATTAAAAGCAAATCAAATACTTCTTTATTGCTTCAGGTAATTTAAGTTGTGATATGATCATTGGGGTTTATATTATGTCTATCTGCAACGTAGCCCAGTATGAAGGTGGATATTTATATAAACTCATATTGTGTAACTTACACCACCAGAAACTAAGATTATGTATAGACTAAAACCCAATATCCTAGATACAAATAAGCCTACTTGCACATACACAACTCTCAATGTCGGGATGTATTTTTATCTGATGCAATGACATATAGCTACTCATAATATATTTGGCCCAGCATACTTCTAACGGACTCTATCACTCCGCCCAGAACGATCCTGCATCAAGGTCGACTGGTCCTCATTATCATTTAGTAATCTTTACTACATTATCATTTAGTAATCTTTACTACATGTACTATCTGTTTCTCTAACAGGCTCTGAAGAAGCCATTTACGTCCCAAAACGCGCAAAATGGATGTAATAACGCTCTTTACGCAGTACTGAATGTCGGTGCCAAAATGACCCTATGAATTAGAGCAGCCACATTGAGACTGTTAGTCTGATGACACCAAGTGATTTTCTCGTAATTTTTATTCCGAATTTTGACTCGGAAAATCTATTAAATAAACCCCTGAACCTACGACCATTGTCAATCAGTTATTGTAAAGTGTAAGCTACTACAGAATATTTTACTTAAAAGAAAAATTCAACTTGGACCGTGTGCGTGTAGATCACCAGTGAAATACATTACTCAGAGAGTTGATAAAATTCGAAATTTTATCATTACCGCTATTTGCAATACGTACCGGACTTAACAAAATTTTTGCGGAATCAAAATACATATGCTATATAACAAATGTAGTCGGAAAAGTTATAAACGAACCGCAAGCCGAGACAAAGTTATTGGTATTTTATATTTTTATAAATATCATCTCTCTTTCTCTCTCTCTCTCTCTCTCTCTCTCTCTCTCTGTGTTTATGTGTGTGTGTGTTGTGCATACTTCTGTTTATTCATATCACTGTTATCACTAGCCAGGACTTGTTAAACTAGTTTTGAAATTCGGTCAGAGCATAACCCATGACAGCCTCTTGTCGGCATGACTCTCAGAGCGTAAATATAAAATTTTAATGTACATCAAATGAAGTTTTTAAAAATACATTTCACTTTGTATGAAAGCATTCACATTATTTATATTAATTTATGGTAGGTCGTAGTTTCAACACAGTGAAAATACAGTGTACTACTTCACTTTAAGATCCTCTCGAGTAGTGGAGAAAGCCTCTTTAAATGACGTTTATGAAAGCACCGCAGGTTCTCCCCATAAAAACTGACCACCGTTGTCAACAGAAGAAAGCCAAGTTGTGACGTCGTGGGAGTATTCATACACCGAGAGCACGTCGCTTTGTGGCACTTCTGAGATTCTTCTAATAATATAACGTTTCTTAGAAACCTAGTATAATCTAACTTGGACAAGATGAGCAACCTGCTGCGCTTGACGTTGTACACACTGCTCTGTGTTGGGGGTGTTGCAGGTGAGTTCACAGGTTAAGTTTACCTGTAAAGAGTGTAAGTCGTCGTAATGCGACTCAGTTGACCTACAACGTTTCGTAATTTAGTGTAAGTAGCTCAATGTCCTCGTCTCTCCTGTCAGTCGATGCACTATATAGTGGTGCAGTACTATCAGTCTAAGTACGTGAAGTAGGTCTAGGTTTTGACACCATGCAGGCAAAGTGAATAAATAATCAATAGTCTACCGATTCAACGCTCTTTCAACAATACGTTTGCAGTACATTAGACGTCAGTGGTGTATGTTTATCTGTCTTGCAGAAAACAACAGAATTTGATATTTCATTGCTTCATATAGTGCACAAACTAGCGCATGATTTCTACCTTCATAACGTCACTGATGACACGTGTGGTTTGTAGCAAGGCTTGAGTATGTGCTTCAGATTCAGACGATTTTAATAGTTGTCGCAAAAAGGTAGCCTGTCGATATAGCTGCGTGACGATATGGGAGTTTGAAAATGAAAAATATGCTATGCGCCGAACTTGAAGCTCCGGGTAGAGGGTTTACCGTCAGTTTTTTTCTCTTCTTTTAGTCGTTTCAATATATGACGCTAGTGTACAAATTGAAGAAAACATCATCTAACAGTCCATTTGCCCACCCGCATGTGCGTAAAGAAATTCACCTAAGCTGAAACTAGGACCCAAAATTATCTTCCATCCTAGGCTGAAACCAGGTTTCCACTTATGATGCCGACATGTGCAGTTACCTGCAGTAGTCTTGTATAGTAAAATCACGTACCAGAGGCGAAAGAGGACCTTTTATAATAATGGCCTAGATATATAGGTACATTTTTCTAAGATATTTAGTGTTATCTCTGTGACACTTTTTCACTGACCCCCCTTTCCTGTCACTTTGTCATACTCCTTGTGTGACTTTGAAATATTTGTGGAAATTTCATACCGAGATGTACATTATATAAAATACGTTTTAGCAAATGAAAATCATGTCAGTCCTTTCAACTTTTAGTGACCTCACGTTTTAGGGGCGTACTATAGTTTTATTTGCATATGTCAACCAGCTGACTGGACAAATCTTGAACACAATAAAAGTTTATTAGCCAAATAGATTTTGTGCAGGATTTACTTTCCTGCTGTGCCAGCACTAGAAGACAGAGGATGAGTACACGAAGAATTAGTCATAATAATCTACATATAGATGTAATACATGGTGAACAGAGTACTGGAGTAGAGCGGCGCGCCCATCCAAGTGTAGATTTACATGTAGCCTACTATCATGACCTCGCACATTTTTGTGTCAACTGGAAACCTACTGTAGTTCTATTATAAACACATCATGCGTTTCATAATTACGGCGCATGCTCAGTAGACGAAGTCACCACATGTGCTATGAACTCTTCAACTCAAGGCGTGGCGTAGACATAGGGTTTAGGTAACTACACTTAAATCTTATAAACATAATAGAGAGAGCTGGGAGGGGGGTCTTCTTCATTCAAATTAACACAATATTGTTTTTATGTGTATAATTTAACGTTTTTTTCCGTATCTCTCCAAGGCCACTTTTTTTAAAAACGCACAGTGTAACAGTACAAATAGTAAATTGAATAATTTGAATTGTTCACTAAACAAAACGACAGCAAAAGGCTTTTTCTGCTGCAAATAACACACAGACAAGTAGAACCATAGAAACTGTTGTAAAAACTATAAGACACCCTAGCCTATAGCCTATCGTGATTAATGTGAAATAACAGAGGTTAAAATCCATGGAAATAAAACAAACATAAAGCAAGTTTCATCAAATTAACACAATATTGTTTTTATGTGTATAATTTAACGTTTTTTTCCGTATCTCTCCAAGGCCACTTTTTTTTAAAATACACGTTAAAAGATGTTTTGTTTCGACGTGAATGCAAGGTGAATGCAGCCTAAAGCAACACGCACTGAGCCTGGTACACGATCACTGTCCCCATAATATCCATTTAATATATTTACGTGCATTTCATTTCCTTTATAATGTTTTTCATATTTGCTTGGTGACGCTCTCTTTAATTTACTAAAGCCTGAGGTCTCATGTGCATTGGACAGATATCTCCACTGCTGGAAACGATCGTAAAAACCAAGGGTCATGTTATTAAAAAAACTTCATACTCGATCAAATGCGCCTTTTGGCATACCTAGGGATGTACTAGTAGACACAGGGATCCCCGGCAGAAAGAGTTGATTCCTCATCCATGATGTTTTGACTATGGTACCAGACGTTGGTTGAAAACTAAGGAACCAGACACAGGACTTTTTGTAAAAAGAACTTGCTTGGTTTGAAGGGAGAATTTTAAGTAAAAGTGCTAAAATGAGATGCAGCAGGTATATTGAGAGCAAACGAGATGTTCTTTTATGTCAGATAAGCGCTGAGCATTAGCTTGTTTAAATATGGCATGTGCAGTTAATATGCACGAGTTGTAAATGTAAACATACGTATTAAACATTTTGACGTATTAAGGGCAAAAGGTACGAATGTATTTTTTAAGTAATTTTGTTTGTGGTCCAGTCAATTCTTATACGAATTATGATGCTTTTATCACAACAATATAGCCTAAGATTTTGTCATTCAAACATGGTACGTGTAAGTAGGGCAATCGTTAATTATAACAAAGCTCTCTTTATTTTGATAAATAAATAAATAAATGATAATTAGAGGTGTTCCCCCTCGTTCTTTGCAAATACGTGGCTGCATACCACCATTTATCTATTCATGTTCTAAACTCAATCAGTTCTTTTGCATATTTCGAGTTAGATCTTATTAACCCAAAATCATTTTTCTTTTAGGTCAAACTTGCCCAGATGGTAGTAACATCTCCACCTGCATCAGCAACATCAATACAGGCAAGTAGGGGTTGTGATTGAGTACTTGCGTGGCACTTGTTGTATCAGGGTTGTAGGGCGGGGGTGGGGGGGGGAGGAGGGGGGTCGAGATAGGTCCTACTGTTTCATGACCCTAGCTATCTCTGTGTCATATTGATACATGTAATCTTCCCGAATGGGGGTTCTCTGCAGAAATACTTAGCCATATACTGGTGGTGAGCGACAGTCCCTAGTAACTTACACATACTCAGCGGTTATCTTTCTGTAAGCCCCTTGGCGTTCCATCAGCCCCTCCGCAAGTCAGAACGGGGGTCATCGACTGGCACCGATGACATCTCCATAGAACACATTCCTTCTTGGTATTTTTGATGCCATAATTTCGATGATAAAATTGCCAAAAGAAATTTCAGCACCTGCTACTGCCGCTGGTTGTACACGGGATCAAACATGATCCAGTTTACAGGGAACGTTGGGAATTTTTATTTTCGCCATAAATCTTATAACGTTTCTCACTTTCAGGATTTATCTTTTGCGTGTCATGGATGTTTGGGTATGCAAGAAGAAGTAGCACTGTAGACGGAGGGCACTAATATGTGTGGGTGAAAAAGCCGCCATGTCTGTTTCTGGTCAAAACAACCCAGTTTTTATTTAAAAAAGCTCGGTTAACAACCTAAGGGTTGAAATTGAACATTTATTAAGTTGGATGGCCAAAGTTATTTATGTAAATTGAACATTTATGTATATATTTTTGGATTACAGCTGCTCACGCTCTCAATCGCACTTTCTTACCCGACTCGTTCAACCTGACTACGTACTTGAACGTCACTTTCAATGCACCGGAAGAGGAATTTGAAGTGTGCTGCAAGACTTTTACCTTTCCGTAAGTTGCAATATAGATAAAACTCTTCTGTATAAAACTTTGCTGTCATTCTCGTGATCTCGTTCTTATTATGAGGAGAACATGGACCCCTTTTTACCTGAGGTCTGCAGGTCGAGAATTTCATCTTCTTCCGATATTTTACAAACCGAGGCCATTTCCACCGCAGACTCGGTTATGTCCGTAACTTTATCTTGTTGGCTGTAATACAGCCGGGTCATAGCATTTTCGATAAATGAAAAAAAGAAAGAAGTGTATAAATTTTATACAATGGGTTCTGAAAATTCAGAATTTCATGTTGAAAGAAAAAACATTTGGTTTGTTATCTTCACGAATTTCTGCATATTCTATCAGTCAATTTGCTCTATGTTTCTTTATTATTATTATCATCATCATCATCATTATTATTATTATTATTATTATTATTATTATTATTATGATAGACGACGATGATGATGATGATGATGATGATTAAATCGTGAACTTGCCCAGTGTCTTACCCAGATACTGGCGATGTACCATGACACTGACTAAGACCATTTAAACGTTAGACTAAGAGTTTCTCCCATTTCACTTTTTAATACATCAACCAAGATATTTTCAAATGCATATTGTTGACATAGTTCTTTTCATTAAGTTTGTAAAGAAGTTGTTTTTTTTGTGTTAGCCTGTATCAGTCATGCTCATCGTCCTCAAACGGGAAATAGAATCAGATTTCGTAAAAGCAATGGCAATATTAATTTAAAAGTAGGCCTACATATTAACCAGGCGTCGGTAGAGCGTCAATTCCCAGCAACGCATATAAACCACTTCTATTAGTTTCTTATTCGGCTCAAGTAAATTTGACATGCCAAGGGATAAACTTAATAAAATAAATCACTTGAACAGATCAAAAGAGCTTTAAACTGCTCCTTTCTTGAAATTATTGATCCTAAATTTAACCTACTTACAGATACCTGACCTACTTATCTGCCCCCATTATATACAGCATAGAAAGCCAGCAAAATATCCATTAAAGAATAATTTTTTTGGGTACATTAAACGATGTATTTTGCTAATTCTCTTAGTTATACTATTTGAAACTATGTGCTGGCATTTGGTCGGCTTTTGTGGCAAAAAATTGACTTCATATGCATCTTAAATGAGAACCTTCGTTTTTCTAGGGCTAAGAATTTTTCGTTGGATCCTTTGAATCCTGACCAAAAAGCTGCGCATACCCAAAGCGCCAACGCTCCAACTTTGTCCTATGGCTCCGTTTCTGGTAAGACATACGCTGTATAAGGTTAATCGGCACGAGGGGTTGGAAGGGAGTGAATCGCACACACCTACCCCTTTTCTAAAATGAATTCCACGAAGTCAGCAGTGGACCGTAGTGAATAGGGGATAAAGAGGAAATGAGACCCAACAGAGGACTGCAAAATGCCCCAAAGTTAACCATATTTTATTAAATATCTGCACGGTTGCAGGGCAGCAAAAAGGGGGGGGGGGTAGCACAGGAACAAAACGTAGAGCCTCGTGGTCATGAGGCCGTGGTCACGTACACGTAGATGATTTTGGCGTGTTTGCGACTGTAAGTCTACTAGATATCAATTAAGCAGATTTATGAGTCAGTGATTTTCCTAAGTACGTCTTAATTTTTTCATTGAAGATTCCAATAATAACCAAGAAATCTTTTGATTTTTGCCAAGCTATAGACTTCACAAAAATTGTAAATTTTACGAGCTTCACTCCTATTGTTGAGTCCCGTTGCCTCGCTTTCGACACCAAAGAGCAAATTACTTGTAAATGAAACTAACCAGACTGTAAACAGTGGCAAGCTTTTTCAGTTTTGCCATTTGTTTATTTCAAAAAACGCGCTTTTTTGTACATGCGCAAAAGGTTTGATACATGTGCTTGGAGGATTGCACATGGTTCCTCTTTCTCCATACCCGTGACCCGCTAGTTATACATGTAGTACGTGTAATTTTTATATTCTGCCATTGAATGCAATACTGTGTCGTATTTGCAGGTAAGCACACACTAGTGATGGTGGACCCGGACGTTCCCTCTAGTACCGTTGGCACCTTGGCTAAACCCTTACTCCACATGCTAGTGTTAAACATCCCAGACGGCAACGTCCCACAGGGCCAGATCATCGCGAGATACAATGGTCCCATGCCGCCCGACGCCAGCCCTCATTATTATTTTTTCATGATTTTAAGTCATGTGGCTGAAGTTGACAATTCTACCATTCCTCAGTATAGTAACGGGGGAAATCTAAGCTGCGGGGTGCCTGGAAGGTAATGCTTGGTGTGTGTGTGTGTGTGTGTGTGTGTGTGAGAGAGAGAGAGAGAGAGAGAGAGAGAGAGAGAGAAAAAGGGGATTAAAAAGGCATATTCAGTACCTGTACATATGCGTGAGTGGAAGAAAAATTGGCGAGCACGAGCATATTCGTAGAAACATTTAAAATAACGGTTGCTCCTTGTCTGCTTAGAGCAAGAGAATTAACTTGTAGCCTATTTTAATAATTTAAAATTATTAACTTATCACTGTTAACATTTGACGGGAATGGTAACTCACTACGCGAACCGTAGTCAATTTTTCATTCTTCTCCACAGATCCTAATTGTCCCACATAATGGCCTCGACACTGCCAGCTAACCTTAAATTGTGCTTCACTGAATGTACATATATGGGACTCCGAACTTGTATTCCCGGTGTAATGTGACAGAGAGTCCCCCATAACAGAGAGTACGCTTCCCATTCATTTGTACAGGCGAGCTTCGCCCTAGATTTTGACCCACTTACGTCAGACTAACTCTAACCATTATAACTATATGGAGGGCGGACTTTCTGTTACACGCACCTTCAGTTTCGTTACACCGGGACTGTCATTCCTGTCAAACCTGAGTGAAGCTGATGTGAATAAGTGTGAATAACGAAGATGTTATGAGTCCATATCAAGAATGCAATCTGTCTTATTTCCAGATGCCTGTTCGATGTGAAGAAATTTATTTCGGACAACTCCATGTCACTGGTTGGGCTGAGTTGGATGCGCGTATCCAATGACATCTTCGTTAACTTTAAAAACATGCAAAGTGGAAGGTTGACTGAAGCTCAGGTCTGCGCAAACGAGCCGACCTACCAGACCCCCTGCCCAGACTGCCTCTGGTCTCAGCAACATACATTGGGTGAGCTTGGCACTGCTTCCACTAGTGTCACTCTGGCATAAGCTCTGAAAACGTGTTCAAACAACAATTGCAGTGTTCTCTTTATTATAATACTCCTCTTTTCTTTGGCATTATCGTCATGAGAATAGTAATCTGTAGTTTTGTGGCAACGATTTACTAGAATGATAATTTCATTTGCTGTCTCCAACTGAGCCTCGTGATCAGTCTTCGATATCCATGTTACGATTGCTTTGTTTGGGTTTCTTTAATTTGAGATTAAATGAAAAGCATATTAATGATAGATATTCCTCGACTTCAAGCACTATTTACGCGATTGTAGGATCGTGATGTAAGACGTTTAGTTTTCTTTTAGAAGTTCTGCGTCCGCAAGTTCATTTTTAGACTGCAGATGTTTACAATCCGTGGTCAAGTGCAACTTTCAGTTTTATACCGCTTTGTAAAGAGTTACCGATGAAAGCAATTTTAACAACAACCATTTCTTCATCCATTATTTTTGTAAAGGGTGGAAAAACATTTGTTTAACTTTATAGTGTTTTTGTTGTAATATGTTAGCAGAATAAACAACCTTTTTCTTCATGTGATAATCTGCGTGGTTTGCTGTTTACCTTGATGGAAATTACTCATTTTTCATGCGAGTTGTGCTATTTGCACTCGTTATTAATGTAGCAAAGAGCTCTAGAAAATTAGTCCAGTTACATGTAATCTAAGGTGACGAACGGATACCAGAGCTTTTAAGCTAAAATGCCATACTTGTCAATGTAAATGGCGAGAAACGTCATAAATTATAACTCATATTATGTAAATTATTCTACCGCACGGAATAAAATGAAAAGGTACGTGAAAAAGATAGGTAATTCAATGATAATGGAAGTAACTTTTTTGTCACTGATAAGACAATATCAAAACACCGAGAACCAAAGTTAGTTTATTGTTAGCTTGCGTCACAATCGCATATCAAACATTTAAGAAAGTTCGTTTCAATATGTGTGAGCAATTTTGCAATAACGGGCCATTTTGCCATTTTCATTTGTTATTTCGATGTTATAATTTGAATTACAGAGTTTTCAAGTTATGGTCAATTTAAACCTCCTTCTTTTCTACAACTAAACATACAATATAGGCCCTACGTATCTGGAAAAATCGCCAAATGTGCATTTTACAGAATAGAGTTGTATCATCAAAATCAATATTTGAATTCAACTTAAAATGCATAAAAACACATCTTCAAGTTGAAAACGAAATGTCTAGCAGAAGATTTACCCAAATCTCCAAACAGACAACCGGTTGTACTAGCACAGAACTCTGCCCGATCATTAGTTGCTGATATCTTTATACGTGTAACAATTCGTTTAACTGAAGCAAGGCATGTTTTGCATTGACATTCTTTCCGTCAAAGGAGAATACCAAAAGTATCGTTTTTGGTTCGAAACACATTATAGTATAAGTAAATTACCATAAGACATCATGGTCGGAGAGAATACTGAACTACATCTTAATAATATATGAATGATATAAAACCAGTTAAATACAGGAATGACTAGGCTTAATCAATCTTTTTCATGATGCTTCATGAATTAAATGTCAGGTACTTTCGACTTTTATTTGACACCTTTTGATGCATAACATGGCTATTCAGAAAAAAGCAAACACTTCTTAACATGTCATTAGCCAACTCTGCAGAAAGACGAAATTCTACAAGGGAGACTGCAGTCTTGACATGAGAGCGGGCGATGTCGAATACAAATCTGATGTCTTTGCTGGGGGACGCATCCAATTTTCTCGTAAGCAGTAGTTAGAAGTCACTGAAATTAAACCAAGAAATTCCCATTCAGGAAACGATGTGTAATGGTTTGAAGATGTATCATTACAGCAACCTGCTGTGGTACGCATTTCAAGCAAATCACTGCTCTATTGAGCCAACACTTTCTGTGTAATCACGCAGTTTACTACAATACCATTCCTTATTTTTATATCTATATAGACTATATATAAATTCACAAGTAAGATGATACAGAAAAAAAGATACAGGCGCTCGGATTACACAGATGTTCAAAGAAGTCGGTAAATGAAAACATATGACAGAAGTATAAAGTTAAGGGAACCTAAAGCAAAAAATCGTCATAACGCACAGTCGCTGGTCGAGCCAGGTTCTTGCTCGGGAGGAACAAGGATAGAAATGATTGTCTTGGACGCTCGATAAATATAAAACGGTAGGCGAGGACGATTTAGTAAGTGCTGGGAACAATGAAGAACTTGCTTGACTTCATCTTATTTCGTTCTAGGTAATGTTTTCCCCCATCCCCCCACATATCATCCAACCTGGTCCCGCCAATGTGTATTTTGTGCATGAAAAATTCGTCGTTTCCACGAAAGTAGTGTGATAATGGTTCAACATCTTATTGCTAATTGTGACTATTACTACCACTACACTTAAATAACAGTAAATGATTCATTATATCAATTGCATTTCAAACTATTAAAACTGATGCTCCGGACTGAAAATTGTGTCACCCCCCCCCCCCCCCTTGGACTGATGGAATAACCCTCTTGCTTGTGCGGTCTTTCTTACTAAAGCACGAAATGCATCAATTTTGACACATAACAAATTGTTGTTTTACATCATTTAAAGAGTACTTACAACAGATTGCTGCCGTTTTCAGTGCTAAATTCCACCCTGCAAGTGAAAATAATAGCAATGTGACATGAATTTTCTTTCCTCCCCATGTTCTACTGACTATGGTCCTGTCTGAGCACCTCTCATCAGAATGCATGATAATGTACAAGTCACCCGCTTTTCGTACGTTAGCTTCCATTTAGAATATATCTTTGTTATTTGAAAACCCGCAATGGATCCCCAATAATGAATCTCCAGTCCGGATAAGTTATTTGGGTTTGCTGAAGTCATAAGGACAAAAAGAATATCATTTTATGATCCATTAGTCTATACTAATTGACTATGCTGAGGAATACGATTTGAAAGGTTGAATGAATGAACCCAATGAAATCACTGGCGCCGGATTGTGGTGGAGGATTGAACTAACAGACGTGATTTTATAAATTACTATTAAAATAACTTCTAAGAAATGCCCTCCTCTGATCAAGTGTTTCGGGTTGCCGACCAGAAATTCATAAAACTTGCTTTAAGTAATTTCATTTAGTCTCTTATAAAGATTATATAAAATGAGAGTAAATGACCTGTAACGTCTATAAATTATTAATGCCAGTTCACCTTCTTCAAATTTCTGGTCGTAAATTTGACCTAGGCCTACTTATTTTTATTGTTAGTGTGGTGAACAGGGACACCGGCTCTGTGCTGGTTTAAATTATCGATTTATCAAAAAAACATTGTAAAACTGTTCGATTAATTGTGAATATTTATTTATAAAACTTCGATCGTTCTGCACATTACATCGCCGCAAGAAGTTCGGTTACAACAGTACTGAGGCTACAAAGATTGGCTTCAGGTTCTGTCTCAACATGATTGTGACGGTGGCCATGAATTTTGTCGCAACATGATTGTGACGGTGTCCATGAATTTCATCATATTGTGCTTGTGAAGACAGCAATAAAAGATGGACGTCGATTTGCCCATTTTACTTATAATTTCTCATGGCTATCATGATGAAAATTTGTCATATGAACTGTAATAGATATGGTGTGTTCAGACATTGTGAAAGCAATTATTTATGCAAATATTAAAAATCTGTATTTACTTAAATACTGAATGTCGTACAGCTTTCAATTTTGTATAATGCCTGTTGTAGTGAACCATTAATAGTACTCAGGGCCGTAGCCAGCAAATTCAAAGGGGTGGTTCTTTTTCTAAAATAGTGGACCTTTTACAATGAAGCGTATGTGAACTTAGATCAAACTTTACCCAAATGGGCCTTTTCCTGGCAAAAAGGGCAGTTTTTTCGAACCCCCCTGACTAAGGGCCTGGTACTGATAGTTTAAATTTGCATATATTTGATTTGCATATTTGTTTAATTGTTTAATTTATTCAGATGTATGTAAGCATGGGAGCGTGCATGTAGTGAACCATTAATAGTACCGATAGTTAGATTTGCATGTATGTGATTTGCACATTTGTTTAATTTAAATGTATCTACAATTAAGTTTTAATTTATTCAAATGTACCCATATCTAAGCATGACAGGTTGCATGTCAGTTATGGACGTCAATTTAAAATGCAAATTAAGATTAAGCATAAAAGAGGCCACAGAGCCACAGAGAGGGACAGACAGATACATAGGAATGGAGAGAGAGAGAGAGCGAGAGAGAGAGAGAGAGAGCGGGCTGGACAGACACACTTATAGTTGTAGAGACCCGAGTTTTACAGTCAGTTGAATAAACTATACAGCAGAAATCTATATCTGCCTGTCTCATTTATCTTATTGGTGAAAAGCAAATCGAAGGACTGAATAACTAACTGGCAGGTTATTACACTGTATAAAGTATAATCATAAAAGAAAGAAGCATATGTGTTTATTGTAGAGAGTAAATTCTGTATTACACTGTATAAAGTATAATCATAAAAGAAAGAAGCATATGTCTTTATTGTAGAGAGTAATTCCTTGATCACAGCATTTTAAATTATACTAGAACAAATAAAGGTTATTGTTAGTATCATAAAGATCAATCTTCAATTTTTCCTAAAACTTTTTTGCAACGAATCTGGCAAAAATTCATATTCATATTCTCTGTCTTTTACCGAGACAGATTGTTAAAAGGGTATTCAAATCAGTGTCAGGGTCGACCACCCTGAGCTTCAGAGATAACTTGACACTATAACCTCTTCACTATAGCCTATCTTCATCGTGTCAAGTTACTTGACGGATGGCTGATATTTATTCAATGGATAGGCTCATCTACTTCTATGGAATACTTTTGGAAATGGCAAATTGGAAAAATTTACTATGAAAAAAGTCTTTGCAAAAATTGGACCTTTTTTATATTTGAACCTTTTTTATATGTCATACTGTATTATATACCATTTGTTTGTTCAGTGTCAGCTGTAGGATATACCTCGGGTTATGTAAATTAACGCACTTTACGGTTGAATACGGGTAATTAATTAAATTCTAAAAGAATAAATAGCAGATTTTGTTGAGAGGCGGGAGTGGACTTCCTGTAGGTGACAAATGACTTGTAAAAACAGCGTGTCGGTGGTGCAGTGCTAAAATTCTCGCCCGTCAGCGGGCGGCTCAGCCGATGCTGCATCTCCTTTATTTGAACGTTCGTATTACTTACACGAAGATCCAACAGGTAGTGCTTGGTCAGCATAACTACATAATAAAGATAAAATAATCATAATATAAAAGCATAATCATTTTAGTTGTCAAATGTTCATCACACAGACGGTTTTCACCAGATCAAAATGGTTGTGTGCCCTCGTATGGCATACAAGGGGCTCAGTGGTGTAGCGGTTATCACATCTGCCTAACACGCAGTTCGATCCTGGGCGGAACCATTCTTTCGAGCTGCCATGCTCACAAGATCATTTTTACTTGAAATGCGTTGACCGTCTGACGACAGGGCCGCTGAAATTTACAACATAAGACAATCACCCTTCTCATTCAGAAAATGTATGCCATCCACTGTTTGCAATATAATGCTCAGGCAACAAAAATGCATGGTGATAGCTCTGTAAAATAATTCCTTACTATATGCAATTAAGGTCGTGAAAGTAATGACAAAAACATGCAATTCAGATTTTTAAAAATCATTTAAACTGTAATTAACGTTTGGGAAGCTTGAGAAGAAAGTTTTCCAATTTTGAAGCTCAACAAATAAAATGAAAATATAATATGAAGTGGGGACAAGTATCTTGTCCATATAAAGTTTGCCGCTTAATAGCATGACCATATCTTTGTCTACAGTGAATTTTTCTTTAAATGTAAGCAAATACAATTATAAAAAATCGGCATCAAACTTTTAGCATCTACTTAGAAAATATACCAGCATTTCCTTCCTGCCTGATCTTTCTGGCAAAAAGTGAACTTTACACAACAAGGAAAAGAAACAACAAAAGTTCAACTATTCAAACTGACTTTATTTAATTTGAATAAACAAAATGACTGATACACTAAAAAAAAAAGTGATATAATGCTACATTTCAGGGTAAAATGAGAGGCATATTTTACCAGAAAATACAGCATGAATGGTACACTCTCAAATAGTACTTGATTGGTTATTCATGCAATAAGAATTCATGATCCAAAATGGTAGTGGGAATCTTTTCAGATATTAAAACAGCAACTGTTTAAACACGAATTGTCAGATCACAGTATAGCTCACCAGAGAGGGTAAAATTTAAAAGGTTGTTCGAGTCTTTGCATTCAACATGTTTGAGAAGATTATCAATGGTTATTCTTCAACAGTGGATATGAAAAACTATCAAAATTTAATATAAAGCACAACCCCTCCTCCAAGAAAAAAGGCTCATAGCAATTTTCCCTTTCATAAAGTTCAGGCAAGCATTGATTCTATTTGGGAATTTTATTTGTCCCTTTATGTGAAACATGCACAAATATTTAATCACAAACGCCCCGAAAAACACTTTGCTGCCCGTGGCATGACATTATAAAGAATGGTTCAAAAAGAAAAAATAATTGCAGCCAAACTGAAAGAGAACTGACCTTGTAACTGGAAATGTTTTCCATAGATAATAAAAAACATTAATATCCCCATAGTAAATACATGCCAACAATGACGCAGAGGGTATGACAGAAGCTCCCCTTGACTTTGCCCTGGTGAGCTAAAAATAATATACCATCATCATACAAGTGTTAACTTTTCGATTCTGCTGCTTCTTGGTCTTCCCAATTCTGTTTCTTTATACACAACATTCAGAAATCATAAACTCATATCTATTATAATGAGGTTTTTATAATAAATAATATGAAGCTGTCATGACTATAATTCAAAAGATAACATCTGATATCTTTAGTCTTTGCATCAGTATGGTCTATGGTGTTCACACTGGAAGATTTTACAATTTTTAAATTAAACATGAATGTACTTCATAAGACAACAATTAACATTTCTGTCCATTTCTGGACAACCTTTGCTTTAAAAGTGATTTTAAAACGTTTTCATTCTTTGAGGTTTTGTAGCAATTTGAGTCTTCCAGCCTCATAGTCGTCTTCATCAACACTCACAAGCAACTTGATAGCCTCATTGCCCACTGCTTGCTTCAATGATTCTGAAAGATGATAAAATAAAACAAGACTCTTTGTAGCTGATATCAGACAGTAACTGTAATATGTATTCTGCCTCAATTAGTTTTAACTAATTAAAAATCTTTATATCTGACTTGCATTATCATTTGGGTTCAAATGAAAGTGTATGAATTATGTCTATGAACTATGTAGGTTATTTCAGACAAACTTCAAGTTAACATCAGGCAGGAATTCCTACAACTATTAATATATGTATTAAGTATTATATTTATATATATTCGGCATTGTCACAAAAATAAATCAATTTAACTACAATTACTATATCAACTTATCAAAACTGCAATTGCCACACACTTGTACCTAAATATCTTGTCATAAATCTGTGCAGATAATCATTACCTGTTAAAAATACACCTTTTAAGGCCTCCAGGAGTGATCCATTGATATAGTCTCTCCAGAATGCATCCAAATAGGTCAACTCTGAGAACTTGATATCACATATTATAGACCCCAGGTCCCGTGACTTAAGTATAGTGTTTGCTTGTGAAAATTTCTCAAACTGTCTCTCAATGAGCTCTGGTTTGTTGGAGTGGACATTGCCCTGCAATGCAGTCTCATGTTGACAGTACTCTGCCCGCACACGCAATCTGATATCTATAATAAAATGCAATGGAAATGTGCAATGTTTCTTTTTTACAAGTAAACCATTTCATAAAATAACATATGAAAGAAGTGCAGTGTAAGTAAAAACTATCTACTGTCCAATGCAATTCTTTAGCAAACCAGTCTTAAAAGCTCTCATGACTGGCCATGCACATGCCCTTTGTCCTAATACAGAACACTTTTCCAAAATTGCCATAATATTTTTAAGAATTATCAATATGAAATGATTTTGGCATAGAATTAACTAGAGACCTGTGTTTGAACAAAGGGTGGAATTATCAGATTCAAAATCATATCATGGCTTTTGGCAACATAGCACAGTTGCACTCTAAATATACACTGGATCAAAGAAGAACCTGCACATTACCACATGTCACTTTTTTCTTGATATCCTCCTGGTACCCCTCCCTGGTCTCAGTGCCTATGGTTCTCTTCCTGGGGGGCCGTCCCCTGCAATGTCTCTTAGCAGGCACTGATAACAGACACTTGACCTTCCTTTTACTACTGTGACTACTACATGTACTCAAACCTTGGGCTGTGACAGTATCATTTTGAGCTGAAGAGGAAAGTCTATCACTGGCAGTGTTTCCAGTGTACTGTGACTGTTTCACACTATTTCTGGGCCAGTGGCTGCAGCCAGGTTGACTAGAACAATCTATAAGGTTATCTGAGGGCTTTTGTGCCTTACTTTCTTCCAGATACTGGTCCACAGGATCTGGACTCACTGAAACGTGAAATGTGAAATATTTAAGTGATGCAGCAGTAGTTTTCGAAATTAATGCCGGTCTGTCGGCCTAAGACTGACAAATATTTTGAATGGACTGAGAAGTTTTGTGTTCTATAGGCCTGTTGGACAAGTAACATTTTTGAGAAGTCCCAGGTATCAAACAATGATGCACACTGCTTTCTTGGATAAATAATTATGGATAATACAAACTTATCTTGTGTGTTTTTTTTACCAGCTGCTGAAGTGCCTAATAATCCAACCCTTATAAATTTTTTGGAGATTTTTTCCCTGTGGTCTTTTCTCTTGTAATTTCCCCAGGAAAAGCCGTGCAATATGTTTATTAGGCACTTACACACTAGATTGAAAATATTGAGAAGCATATATGCTTTTTCATTTTTCATGAACAGGGTGGCAAATATGCAGTTACATGGTTGCCAGGGCACAGTTTGCAGCATCTTTGGAGAGTACCTACCATGTTTAGCTGATCTGGCTCATGCTGGTGTAGGAAAGTTTAGATCATCACGGGATGGGTTTGAAGCAAAACGTTAATTTTATTTGTGTTACATCAGACTGTTTATGATTATTTGTATAAGTTTGAGCAGAAACTCGGCTGTTTTAACCTGATGGATAAATAAATCAGAAAATGAATACCATGTATTGGTATTTCAATGCTCAATGAAAGTACAGGAAGTAGGAAGAAAACAGCAAATTCACTCAGTTTTTGACCAAGCATGAGGCTCAAGAGATAAAGTAACATAAACAGATAATTTACAGTATGAGTAAGTTTCAAATTAATATGTCTTCAAACCCTCAGCTTGATGTGATTGTATATATATATGACATAAATCTGGACATATTGACAAAAATAAAAAATACAGAATTAGAAAAAGGCTCATTGGATTTTTGTTCTCTCAATGCAGTTCCGGTAAATGTTCTGACTGTTTAAGAGAGACTGAGTGGTTTGCAGGCTTCAAACTAGCCAGCATTTTTGCCAGGAAAAGGCCAAATTTGGATAAATTTAGTCATGGTCCATGAAGTTTTTTTATATGTACACTAAGTACAAGAAGGTTCCTATATGGTGGAAAAGGCTAGCATATCTGAACACTTATTGGAATGAGAAAAAAAAATAATAATGGGTTACTAGCTATGTTTACGTATATGTAACAATCTAGCCATCCCCTGGCACCAGAAACTCTCTGAGAAAGAGACAGAGGGAAGTGAATCACTGAATCATTACCATGCGAATGTTCTACGTTTAATATAAAAATATGAAACAAGAACACGTCCTTTTTGTAATAGGGTACATGTATTTCATGTATTCACAGGTATAAATATATATATATGTAATAGTATATTGTAGCGTACATTGATATAAGTGCCTTATTATAAATAGCTCTTGTATATAAATATGTGATATGAATATGCATACTGGTGTTAGCGCCCTTTTTATGTCACGTGGGTCATGTGACCCTGGACTATAAAAGCGGTTGGCGCGTAATTCAAAGTGAGATACACCAGTGATCGGCTGTGTAGATAGTACGAATAAAGATTTTTCTAAAAGGACAATACATTTTTTGTCGTGCCTCGGTTACATTTTTAAACTTAAAAATTACACTCGACGATTTTCAAGCATTACCTTTCTTTCTCTTTCGTAAGGTAACGTAAGGTAGCAAGTCATGTCTTCTGCACTTGCGCAAATATTCTTTTAATTCGCTGAAATCTGACTCGTCTATCCTTCCTGCCCTCTCCAGTTCCATCATCATAGAGTATCCATCGTTTATATGCGCACCCTGGCGTAAACTGCCAAAGTAAAATATTTTCATTGAGATAAGGTCTCTATAAGCTAGCTGATTACCAATATCGCGGTACATATCTTGCAGAGACCTCAAAGTTGGATCGAAATTTTTGCGACTCCCAAAACTTGGATCCGTCTCCGCCATCTTGACCTTCACCTTGTTTATTAAGTGCTACGGAGTAAATACAAAACAAAAATAATATTTTGAGAAAATAAAAAACCCTTCAGTTTAAACAACCGCAATGACACAAAAAATGTATGTTTCAATACGTAAAATTCAGTATAATAACAAATCCTGACACAAAATAGTATTCTATCCAATCATTTATGAGGTCATCGTAGACGCCGACAGGCAATTCGTCGGTGATTTTCGTGAAATGAGCAGGTGTCCAAAAAGGGATAGTAAAAATGCGCGGATGATTGAAGCAAAGTCACCAACACTAAAAAGAACGCTAACTTAGGACTTCAAGGAGTTGCTCCTTTGGCGGCAAGCTTCTAGCGGAGACAGATCAGTCCTGATTCCCCACGAAAGTTGCTCATTACTTTCCGTGTATTCAAAATGGCGGAAACTGCGAATCAAAAGCCAGGTATGAATGACATTTGTACATATTCATATTTCAATTTAGCATAATGAACGTCATTTGCCTCTGTATACAAACAAATACACATGGCTGGTTTTGTCACACTAATTATCGCAAAGACGTGCACGTTAATGACACTATAAATGGTTAACGTTGGCGATGGTGGGGAGCTGGCGAGTTTTGTTAAACCGAATTGACCCACTTTTTGGTGAATGCGACCTTCTTGTGGAAGTTCAAGATATTTGAATGAAAGCACGGCCGCGATATCCTAAACTTTGATACTTTTAATTGTAGTTCCTTACGTTATACTTATTTGTGATTATACAAATCTCTGCAGTATTAAAAATCTATTCCAGACAAAGTTTATCGTGAAAAAATGTTTCAAATGTTTTGAAGATTATCGTATGTTTTGGCAGTGGCTTATAATCCGTCTCTAGGTGATCTCATGCACCATCATTTTTCTGTCAGTGTAAAAACTTCTAATTACCTGCTTTCTTGTAGATATTTCAGGTGCAGGAGCAGAGAGAAGCTCCAGTGTATAGTCAATGTTTTGACATTACCAATGTTTTAAACTTCTTTTAATCAAGAGAGCACCAATAATAATCATTGAAGTAATTACATGAAAAGAGTATCATTTGGTCTTTTTAAAACCCATAAGTGACATAGATCAGTGATGTCATTGTTTACTAATAACTGAAATGTATATGGATTTGCATTGCCTAATATAAGGATACTATAGATCATATTGAATGATGAAGCAATAACTGGCTTTTACATACATTTTTTAATGCAAATCTATCAAAACTTTTTCCTAATTTCATCCCCTTTAAAAAAGACTAGTAATTAAGGTCTTTAACTGTTTGTTTTTTTTTCCAACCTGTTGATCTTACTTAGAGGTAAGCTTACCTAGTACTAGTGAAGCAGGTTAAAACTGATGGAATTTATATGTAAAAAAGCTATGTTTAGTAATAAGTCACAAAAGCTCAATTCTATGTGTGGGAATGGTCAGGGCAGACTGTTTTTGCATCTAAATTGAATTTGTTTCTTTTAATAGTATCTTTTTTTGCATGTGTAATGAATGCTGTCAACTGTTGTCATGGAAACAAAATTGTCTATGCATTAATGGCATGGTAATCAATGGCATACATCTGCGTATAGAAGGACAACATTTACATCCTATTGATTTTGTCTGCATTTGTGAATGTTAAAGGTATACTAACATGTTTGAAAGTGCCCCAAAGTCATATTTTTATGTTTAAGGTCCATTCCCTTAGACACCATCAGTCTATGTGAATTGACACAACTCTGCAGGAATTCTTGCTGATTGCAAGCAGCTTAACTGAATGACAAGCCTTCTGCGGTTAAGTAGAAAATAGAAAAGCTGGTGATTATACCAGTACATTGGAAGCTTCTTATACTAATATGTAGCAAGTGCCCCCGCATAGTTGGTGCCACCAGTGTGTATGCTGGCAGTACTCATGGTTTCAGAGCCAGCCCGTTTCGTACGGCTCTGCTGGCTCCGCAGCCGGGCACCGGAAACAAGTCATCGTTACCACTTCTCCTCCTAGACCCCAAGGGCTGTGTCTCCCATCTCTGGGATTTGGGTCACATATAGTCTCACATTGAACCCCCTGGCTTATTTGTCTTAGTCAGTGCATTGGCCTAGGCGCGATGCTTGCTGAAATCCTATACAACTAGGATACTTTTCTGTGATCTTGGTGGTACTGGAGCTAAAAAAATTAATTATAAAAGTCAAATACCTATAGGAATATCATATACATTTGGTGAAAGTGTTCCAAAGTTTTCAACCAATCTCCAGGCTCAAAAGATGAACATGAAGAGCTGGGCTTGAATTTTATAATTTCTGTAAGAAAGAATCAAAGTTTGGCATGAACTGATAACCTCCATCATCCATGTCTACATTCTTGGTTTAGTGACAGGTTGTAGTAAGTTTTATGAAGTGGAAAGCAAAACATTACTCTGAAGTGCCGAATAATAGTGCCGGCACGATTATTATTTTTTTTGGAAATTTTCCACCCGGCACGTTCTTATTTTCTCCGGCACGATTAATAATTTTCCCCCATTATCCACACGGCACAATTATTTGGCAATATTGTGCTGGTTGGAAATACTATTGAATGTTTTGGAAATGTTAATTACCGTTTCATAGGACAAGTTAATTTTTATTAATCACCTGACGTAAGCACTACTCACAAACTTGTTTTTTAGCGTAAATAAAAGTAGCTCGTCAATGCATGCTGCCCGGAGTCTCTGTCACGGCTCTGTCGTTACATGTGCATTGCAAAAAAGTATGTCAACTTGCCACCAATAGTAAACTACTAGTACAATGCTGCTATTTTTAAGACCCAAATGAAAACGTTTTGACCTTAAAAACAGTTTAGTGACAGAGATTACTCTAAATGGTTAAACTACATGTATAAATTCAAAGGTAAATTTGTCTAGATGTTGTGTTTTTGTTATGTTTAATAGTTAAAACAATTTTTCCAGATTGCAATATGATTTGTAATTGCCATTGCAATTATTCATTGAAATTATTAAATTTGATAAAATTTTCTGGGGGGTGGGTGGGGGCAAAATTCTTCCGCTAGGCACTATTATTAAATATCGAAAATTTTTCCAGGGGGCACAATTATTCCGCTAGGAACTATTATTAATTTCGGAAAGTTTTTCGGGGGGCACAATTATTCTGGTAGGCACTTTTATTCGGCACTATGTTTAATCCTACCATAAGGTAATTATGAAATCTCAATATTGAAGTATATATATTCTCAAAATTCATCTAAAAATTTGGGCCATCCAGTGCTTCTAAAGGAACAGGTGTGTCTTGTTTCTGCTCTGATGGCAGTGTTATATGTGGACTACTTGAAATGATTGTTGGTTGGGAGGGGGGGGGGGGGAGGGGGTTCAGAGCAGCTGGTGGCCCTCTGTGTATGCAGAGAATCATGGAGGACTGCCAATGGTTTAATTTTACTATTTCAGTCAAATATAGCCTCTGTTAAGCCTTCTCTTAACACTGAAGGCCACTGCCTTTGATACTATGACCATTGATATCATTAAAATGCAATATTTTCATTCACTTATTCATTGGAACAAATTCTTAAATGCATTTATTTTTCAAATCAATGTATAGTACACAGATGGTAGATAAGCAAATTGGAAATTAGAAATTATAATTTTTTGTCAGAGTAGACTCACTAAAACAAAGCAGTCTGTGCCAACAACTTTTCAGCTTACAGGCCATGTGGACCACTATTTAAGATTTATAAAATCTCTTGGTCCAAATCTCAATTCACTAGTCCGAATTAAAATTTCAGTTAGACTGGGCATATTTCCCCTATTGCATTAATATTAGTAATAACTAGACCTTGATTTTATCTTACACTTTTTTCTTTTTAGAATCATCATGTAACAGTTACATTTCAGAAAAGAATTAAATCAGATCAATAGCTCTTATTAAAAAGTTAAAAAAAAATCTGATGGTCATGTCAGACCACTTAATTCACACATGAAAAATCTACTGTTCCAAATGAAATTTTACTGGTTGCAGGTGTAGGACCAGCTAACGCTGCAGACTGCAAATGCAGAAAATTTTGTGTATAAAGAATAGAGAGATGACTAGAGAAAGAGATCTTACAATTCATCCTCAAAACACAATTATCTTTGGAGGTGAAGGAAGAATATTCATCACAAATTCCGAAGAGAATAGACATCCTCTTTAAGGCTGCTTTAAATGCAAACCTAAGGTGGTTCTCTTCCATTCAGTGACTAAACTGATTCTGTTATAATCTGCATTCCATTAGAGTGTGTATGTTTTTTCACTTGAGTTGTCTGTGTCAATGGGGGACAATTGGCCCAGATTTAATGAATTCCCTGTCATTGACAGTGATGGCGCCTGCTATCCAGCATGCATTCTAATGGGACTGGCTGGGGTATTCAGATTACTTACTTTTGATATGAGGCTGCCTAAGGGAACCACAGGATTATATGAAATGTGTATGCAGAGAATCACAGAGGACTGCCAAAAGTTGAACTTTACTATTTCAGTGGAATACAGCATCTAATAGGGCTTCTGAACATTTCGTTCTGAACATTTCTTTGGTACTGTTTATATTTAGAATTACTAAGAAATTGCTTGTTTAAGAATTTGTTTAATAAATGGTTGCTTTGGGAAAAAAAGGGGTGTGGGAAGTGATGTTGAAAAAAGACATGGGAATGTGTCACTGTCTTTTTATGCTTTTAATTTTTTTCAATCCTCAGTCCTATCTGCCCAGATGCACCCTCTCAGGAACCCTTGATATCAGCTGTTTTTTTTTTATGGTATGTGTATTTGTCCCTGTAGTGCCCACAGAGGCCCGGCCTTCTCTGTGCTGCCATTGTGGATGTCTGTTTCACTGCCACATTGTAATTTTCACTCCAGGGGTTGTCTATGAATAATAACAATGGGTACTTTGCATGAGAAAATGATAGAAATGTGATCTGTTGGCTGGAGTATGAATGGGGAGATTTAGAAGTTGATTGGAAAGTTCAGCATGGCCGAGTGCTCTGTGGCAGTGTCCAC